GAGACAAGCCGCCCGTTCTTAATCACTTCCAGTGGGGATGGGCGGCGACAAGGAATAATAGCACCAAGACTCTGCACAGTTCGCTCTGCACCAGAGACCATAGTGGGAGGAGAAGTGACTTGTCTACACAGTGCGTACACATATGTCTGCACATGCTGCGACACTGCCGCAGCCCGCCAACCGGGCAAACCTGGCAAAGCAGCCCAGATCGAATTAGCAGGGAGATTTGACCAGGTCGAGTCAAGCGACAAGCCCATGGGGTGGAAATTGCGAACAGCAATAGACTGAGGCTCCGATCGACGGATATCAGACGAAGAAAGAGGACAAAACCATGGACGAGGGCTGGACGGCCGAATGCGGTGAAAGCTTCATGATTGAGACGCGTCTTCGAGGAATGAGCTCGAACAGGGCTGTTGCCAGCAAGATTCCGGCCGCCAACCCTCCACCATCAAAAGCTTCGTACGGCCACTACCCTCGCCGGACGCGCTCCCCCCCCCCCCCCCCCCCCCCCCCCCCCCCCCCCCCCCCCCCCCCCCCCCCCCCCGCCCCCCCCCCACCCCCCCGCCGCGCGCGCCGCCCCGCCCCCCCGACCCCGCGCCCACGGCGCGGCGCGCCGGGGACCACACCCCCCCCACCCCCCCCCCCCCCCCCCCCCCCCAAGTGCGCCGCCAGAGCTACTCGCCCAGTTAGCCGTGCTGGCAATCCGGATAGCAGCACGTCAGGCGTGCCAGCGATGCCACTGATCGATGGCCCAGGGCCAGGCTACGTGGGCTGGCAGGATGCCAGAAGCTACAACTTCCATGACCATCGCCATGCAGATAGATGCATAGCTGCTGCTCCTGGATGCCCAGCCACATCAACTGTTTCTCACGGGACCTCGGCCACATGAGACATGGCAGCCCAAAGGCGAGACCATAGGCTAGGATCCATGCCGGATGGACAAGTGACGGTTGCTCAACAGACTTCCCGCTGCGCATGTAGTCCGTCCCCAGCCCTTCCTTGTATCGTCGTTCGGTACGTAAATGAAGCAGACTGGGCCAGCTCCGCGTTCAACGGCGGCGATTGTACGCTGCGGCACACCATGGCTGAGGTACAGGACGCGCCGCACTAAGGTCGTGCAAGCTAACCAGCCCGTCCGCGGGACGTGTAGTGTATCGAACGGACTGCAATCAGCTTCGGCCCACCAGCGATCCGAATGAAAACTTTCCTAGCTTTTCTTGAAGCATGACCTTTCCCTGATTTTGTGTCATACTGTCTCGTTACAAAAGACTGGCCTGCAAGAAGCCCTGTGTGAGGGCACTCGAATACCTCCATCGGCCGACTGAACACACTGATGGATGGGCGCCGATTCGAGGAACGTGGCAGCGTCTCAAGCACGCTACTGCACGAGATTCACGTTGCCCACTGAGGACTACACTGCCTATGAGCGTGCTGACTGCTGAGTGAGCGGCACACCAGCTACATGAGATGGTGGGGAGAGCTATATGGGGCCCTCGAGCCCGGAGGAGGGCAACGAGGATGGGCTGGCTAAGAGGAGCAGGCATATGGATGGTTGGGGCAGGAAAGGCACACTGCACCACAGCGGCAAAGCAGCGGTGAGCAGAATATCTGACCTGCTCATTGCGGTGTTGGCACTGACCTACGCTCCGTCCTGGGCGGCTCGGGTCCGTTCATCCCGTACTCGACCCGCCCGTTGTCACTCGCCATCACGTCAATGTATTGGCGTTCAGCCGAGTTTCGGATCGGAGAAGGAAGAGAGATTTCTTTCTTTCTTGGTCGGTCTTCTCGCTGACCACCTTCGCTCTCGATGGGATCGCGCTCGACTACAGTCTACGGGATGCAGCTCATGGGTCCAGGCGACGATTCTGTCATGCGATACCGTGAGTGTTGTTGGTCGACAAACGAGGCGGAGATGACCTGTCAGATCTGACAGCTGCGTCGTCGCAAGCCACGCGGCGGCAGCGGCGGCGGCCGGTGGTACGAATGAACTCGGATACTATGGGAAGCAGATGGGAGCACGTATCAATCAACAACCCATACGGATACCGAGCACGATTCCGGGATGCACACATCGTGGGCGGCTTCTTTCTAGGGGTCCCTGACTCTGACTCTTCAATGCGTGCAATCCATCTGAGCAAGGCAGCCGAAACGGCAAAAAGCAAGCGCTTGACGAGGGGTCGTGAGGGTTTCTTTCTTTGGTCTGACTTTCTGACAGTATGGTAGGAGTGGCAGTGAGGGGTTGCTTCTTCTTGCTTTCTTTCTTTCTTTCCTTTTCAATTTAGTTTTTTTTTATTTACCATTTTCTCTTCGCCTAGGTAGTCATACGGGCGACCAGCTCCTCACCCACCATCTCACCTCGTCCGCCGTCTCCCCACTTGCTCACCACCCATCACCAGAACAAATTGACATGTCTTCCCCCGGCTCGCGTCCGTGGCCGCCGATACCTTGCAGCAGAGTTGCAGACCAACAAGAAAAGTTCGCCCCATCCCATCTGCGGTAGCCGTCCATTGGCGATGCATCATGTACAGTACTTTGGTTCTTTTTGGCTCATCTACCTAGGCTTGGGTCACTCACCACCCATCGGCGCCCAGCCCCCAGGCAGCCGGGCATACATACAATGGACCACGTCGCCCACCCCTTCTTCGACTGGGACATTCAGGACGGGCTCCCAGGCTATCCAGGCTCCTGATGGCGCTCTTTCGGGCCAGCTGCATGACAGGTAGCACCCAAGGGGGTGGGCTCGAACCACTTAGACGGCCTCCGAAGATATTCGTGCGACCTTGAGACCTTTGGTGCTGCTGCATGGCCGCTTGGGCCCGTCACCGCCCGCATGGTGCTGCAGTCACAAGCTGCGGACCGATGCGGCCTGCAGCAGGATCGGCGTCGATCCGCTTGTTTTTTTACCACCAGAAAAACCTGTCCACGGCACCTGTCTGTTTCCCAACACCCGGCGGTGGCCCCCCGTCAGCCCCGGTCGGTCACACACCGTCAAGTCGACCCCGTCACGGTCACGCCCCGTGTTGTCCTCCCCCGGCATTTGCCTCTCGGGCTTCATTCAGAGTTTGTCTTTGCTTTTTCAATCCTTGTTTGGTGGCTGGATACACATTGATTTTTCGCGCTGCCGTATCATGTACGGAGCAGGTACTGTGGTATGAAGGACTCGTCGGTGCAAGGGAACACAAACCTCTTCAGGCATGCTTACGGCCGGTTCTGGCTTGTCAAGGCAGCTCTGGTCACTCTGCGTTGCTTTCAGTGCCGGGTCATGTACCTGTCTGTATGACTCGACGGCGGCAGGTAACGCCGCTCGGGTTGCGAAGCGATGGGTGTTGGTGTGTGTGTGAGTGTGCATGTGCGTGCCCACGCACCATGAACTCACGGAGGACGGAAGAGGAAAATGCTAGTCAAGCCAGGTCCTGCCGTCCAACCTGCCACGCTTGCAGTGGGTATTTCGGACGGGCATCCCATTCCATCCCCCCCTCTCTTTTCCTTGCCGGGCCCGCGGCTGTAACCTGATTTGGGCCCCGGGTGCGTCTTCGCATCCCGCCCGAGGTCGCTTCGGTGGGCTACGAAAGGCGCGCCGCAAAAAGCGGCGGCCCCAGGGTTTCGGCCATGATCCATGGTGGATTTGCCAATGGATGTGCGGCGTGCCATGGCTACCAGCGCTGACTCCTGACTCCTGGGAGCGAGCCCTTGGAAGTTGGAAGGGGGGATAACGAGGCAGCCGCAGACGTGCAGGATGACGGTCTCCTTCTTTGCTCCTCCACAAGGTAAGGAATTCGTAAAGGTAGGGGACTCCAATTGTCAAGGTTCCACCAGGCCAACCCCCCCCTCTTCCCTCCTCCGGTTCCCCGAGAGACCTGGAGCGCCGCGGCCACGACCTTCTTGTCCAGACGCGGTGCGAGGTAAGGTAGGTAGGTACCCTTCAAGTTCGCTAGGAAGACAAGGCAAGGCCGGGTCGGGATGGGAAGTAAGAGGAAGGGGGGAACGGGACAGATCTCTATTAGTTCGCCGTTCTTCGTTTACCACGCTGACCCCCTTCCCCCCTCCGCCTTGGATTCAGGTACTTTGACCGAACTCCTGCCAGAACCGGACGGGGGAGAAGGAATCCACAACGCTGAACCTACCCCGAAATTCTCCACGCCCCCGTGCCATCCCGGTCTCCCACATATCAAGTCACGTGATGTAGAGGCTGCTGTTAAGCTGTTGAAAGCGGGGGGCTTTCCTTGCCTTACCTAAGGCCATGAATCTCAGGCGTCACTTCACCCTTCCTCGCTGCCCGCCCGTGCCGGGTACGAATACCTTACTCCATGGTCCGTAGTACTGTGAACGGAGGACGGATAGATGAATTCTCGTAGCGGTGCCTCCACAATTATCCCATTCCCCGCTCCGGCAGGTACTCCTTTTCGTGTATGGTTCCTTCCATCATTCCAATCGGGGACTAACCTCCCGGCGCCTTTATGTGGACTGGAGACTTTTTTTTTATTTGTTTTTTTCCCATCGCCGAGTTTCTTAACCCTACCTTAGATAGTACAGGCACTGGACCCCTTCCCGCCCGGATCATTTCCGCGGACCTGGACCTACCAGTACAGCTACGAAGTGACCGAAAACTCTCCGTGCGAAAAAGGATTAAAAGCAACGTCGAGTGGTTGCAGCATCCAGCGAGCTACGGTACACGTTGAAGATCAAGAAACTCTGACATATTGGTCTTGCTATTTTTTGCAACTCACTTTGTGACGGCTGAGTAAGGCACTTGCAGACGAGTAGTCCTTGTATCTTCCTTTTTCTTCTCTTTTCTCCTCCAATCAAAAGACGAAGAAGTCCAAAGAGGGGTTGACAAACGAAAAGAAGACGACATTTCCGAACCCCCCAAGATAGGTATCGATAACCCTGGACGAATACCAAGTACCTCCTCACCTTACACACCGAGACGACAGCTCGAGATTTGCCCGGGGAAATTACCGCCGACGTTCCATTCACCGAATATATCCCCGTCGACAACCATGGCTGAGAATGATACTGCCAGCGCCAACAAGGCTTACTTCAAGTACGTATACATTCCTACATTTTCACACGTCGTTCCCCCACATTTCCTTGATGGGGATGGAGGAACGCCGTGACGGGATGATGCCGAGTAACATCCAATTTTGTCCGCGTTCATACCGTCCCCGGGTTCCTGCCGATGTACACACATCACAAACACAACCCGCCTTTCGAGACTCTTCACAATTTTGAGGTGTACTTGCCTCAACCCCCTCCCCCTTTTCCGAATATCATCCGACCCTGACAGAATTCCTCGTTCAAACTTCTTCCTCCTTTTATGAACTGCATTTTCGCATTTGGACATATTCGAGCAAATAGAAGTCAAAAGGAGAGGCCCATGGAGTTGACTTACACGAACTAATTCCTTGAGTAGTAAGCTGGCTGCCGAGTACGACACGAAGTACGAAAAGACTATTCTGCAGCTTGAAAAGGAGATTCGCAAGCGCAAGGACTTCATCGGCGCAGATTGGGTGATTGACGACGACGATGATGACAGCGAGAGCGAGAGCGCAGCACAGTCGACGGCGGCGAATGGTCGGTCGGTGAGACTTCTTGATTACGCTTGTGGAACGGGCTTGATATCGAGGGTGAGTTGTTTTGTGACTTTTTGTTCCTATCGTATTTTCTTCTTCTTTTGAGGACGATATGATTATGTTCTAATTACCTGCTACCTTTGTCATGGTTGCGAGGAGCATATCACTTCCCTCGTGCAAGTACTCGAGAGAGCACGGATGAGATCTTCTCCCGTCCGTCACGCAAGTTTGTTTGCTCTTGTTTCAGATGTCGTGTACACCAAATTCGTGTTACTTATTTTCTTTGTCATTTACACAACATTTGTGCGACTCCTCGTTGGTCCTTTCTACTTTGAGGACTCCAGCACACTTTAGCATGTAGAGACGGAGACTGTAGACTTACATCCGGGACAAAGTTGACTGACACCAAAAATAACAACAGGCCCTCGCGCAGTTCACGACGCATTGCGTCGGCATAGACATTTCGGAAAACATGGTGGCGGCCTACAACGCCCGGGCCGAGAACCAGGTACGTTGGAAAGACGATTCTGATTTTTGTCTGGTTCAAGTTGGTGGCAGTCAAAACAAGGCGACAGAGAGAGATGAGTCCAAAATAGCTCGGTTTCCCCATTCAGACTTCCGCTTGTCGTTCTCTACATACACACCTTCTCCTCATCTTCGTCACCTCACTTTTGGCCAGATAGTTCTGCCCACACACGACGTACAGACCGGGCATCCAAGTGGAAAGTGACAAAAGAGAGAGGGAGAGCTGGGAGGGCGGAGGGAGAGTTTCGAAGGAAAGGTATGTGTACACGCACACCAGACACCAGACACCAGACGCAAAAAAAAAAAGACGAGACCATGGGGCCAGCCGCTCCCAGACTCGGCTCGACTCCAGACAAGAGCAAGAAAAAGATGGGATCGTTCGCCTCACACGGTTACCTGCTCACGGACTCGTTTCGGCAAAAGAAGAGAGCACAGACAATCTTCTTGGGAAGTGGAAAGGAAGAGGGCTTGGAAAGGCTTGTCGTGGCTGTGTGTAGAGCAAGGTCAAGGGAAAGAAAGTCAGAAACCCTCGTCTGAGCGTTTTCCGTCGTCACGTCCACGATGAAATGACGGACGGGTCCGTTCTCTCCACGAGTCACTTTCTTCTCTCTCTCCCTCTTTGCTCCCGCTCTCTCTCACACACACACACCTCATGTTGGTCTCATCTCAGCCCTGCTGACCTTCAGACCTTTTCGATCCCCGCCATGACATGACGTGGACATTTGCCCAAACTAAAAACTCTCGCACTCTCTTTTGGCGGTTTTCGATCCGACCCCTCCCCCCCTTTCTCTCCTCTGGACAGCCTTACCTAGATCTCTCTCTCTCTCACCTCACCTCACCTCACCCTACCCACCCCTCCCTGAATCTCACAAGAATCTCATCTCATCCCATCTTTTTGATGGCAAAGTTGCCGTCTCGGGCGAGCACACCCGCACTTCTAACCCTCCTACCCCTCCCCCTTCTCCCTTCTTCCTCCGAGTGCTCGGCCGTAGACCGAACCAAGCCTGTGCGGGCGGCTCGGCGCACGGGGAAGATATTGCGTGACCAGAAGCCCCCCCCCCCCCCTGCGCAAAGATGCCGCAAAAGTACACGAGACATGATACATGGACGACACGAAAGAGAAAAGACGGGAAAGGCCGAAAAAAAAAGAAAAGGCGGATACAAGCGGCAAGCTTCAGCTGAACCCGGCGACTGACATGACCACCCACCCCCTCAGGGCCTCACCACCGACGAAATGCACGCCTACCAAGGCAACCTCACGGACCCCTCCGATCCGGCCCCCGCGGCGTTCGCTTCCGACGACGGCCGCTTCCGCGACTTTGACGTTGCCGGTGTCGGTCTCGGGTTCCACCACTTTGAGGACCCGGAGCTCTCGGCCCGCCGGCTGGTGGAGAGGCTGAGGCCGGGCGGGGTTTTCATCATTCTCGATTTCCTGCCGCACGAGAAGATGGATCACGCGTTGCCTGCTGCGCATACGGTTATGCATCACGGGTTTTCGGAGGAGAGGATGAGGAGTGTCTTTGAGCAGGCTGGTGCGGGCAGGGATTTCGGGATGGAGGAGCTTGGGAGTGGTGTTGTTTTTGGGGGGCATGGGCATGGACATGGAGACGGCCATGGACACGGGCATGAGGGGCGTGATCATGGCCATGGCTCGGGACAGGGGATGAAGAGGCGGGTGTTCTTGGCGCGGGGAACAAAGGCGTAGGTAGATATCAGTGAGCTAAAGATATCATGAATCTTCAGATTTGGAACTCAGGCTTGAACCTCTTTGGTTGAAGACGAGTGGAACACACTCGGAAAGACCATGCCTCCCGTTCTACCGAAACTCCCGTACCTACTATTCCTTCTCAATGATATCAACAGCAAAAGCACCTCCAAGCAGAATAGCAGGTTCCTCGATGCTGTGGTGCTCGTAACTAACGTAGTTTCTCACACATCAGTCTTGTCCTTTCTATCGAACAAAAAGAAAAAAAACTCACCTCAAAGTACCCACGCCACCGGCCTCGAGCAGGAACGCCGGTCCGTCCTGCAGCGTCTTGCCGGCCCAGCGCATGGCAAAGGCGCGGAGGATGTGGCCGTGGGCGACGACCAGGACGTCTCCGTTGGGCGCGTCCTTGTTGCCGATGACGGGGCTGTGCCACCTGTCGCGGATGTCTTTGATGAGGCGGTCCAGACGTTCCGTCACGTCTTGGGGGCTCCTGTGCGGGTATCAGCAAGATTTTCTGAGTAGTGAAATTTCCGCTGGCTGTTTATGAGGCTTCACGCCACGTCGATGACCTATGAGCGTCTCCCCGAAACGGCACCTATGAAGGTTCTGACCGCATCGGTGGCTAGATCACCGACGACGCTTTTCTGGGAAGACAGCACGAGCTGACAGGCATGGAAGGAGAGAGAAAGGCATCAGAGGTGGAAAGGAAAGACTTACTCGCCGCCTGGGCAGCCGTCGCGCCAAATGTCCCAGTTCTCAGAAGGGCCCTGCTCCTTGCGGATGCGGCGGATCTCGGGCGATGTGATGCCCTCGTAGTCGCCATAGTCCCATTCGCGAATGTCCTCGGTGACCTCGACGCAGGCGTTGCAGTGCGGGCCGTTGCCCTCGATCTCGCCGTGTTTCTTCCAGGGGAGGTTGTCGTTGATGCCGAGGTTCAGCAGTTCAAAGGTGCGCTGGGCACGTTTGCGAGGGGAGACGTAACTGATTTGCCTTTAGCAGTAGCTCGTGGCCGAGGGGATTGAGATCGAGGCTAATGATGAGTGCTAGGTGACATCACTTGATGTACCTGGTTGTGCTTGAGAGCAAGTCTGGACCCCGGAGGCGGAAGACCTCATTATCCTCCTCACGTGGCTTAACAATTGCACGCAACTCACATGTGAGAGATTCGTTTGGGTACAATAAGGCGGTCACTCCCAACCAGGGCGCGGCCGGTGGCGCGCACACGCTTCTCGCCGTTGGCTGTGAGCGGGATATCGGTGCTGCCGGTATGCCGGCCGTTCAGAGACCATTCCGTCTCGCCGTGGCGGATGACAAAGGCACGGGGAGTCGTCATGGCGGCGGGTGCAACAAATCCGTCTCGCGGAAGCCGATTTGACAGCGGATGTGACCTCGCAATGGGAGTTGGTGCGTGGGAAATGTTATGCGATCTCTACCGATGTCTAAGTGTTCTTCGGGGGTCTAATGGAGGGCGGCGCAGGGACGCCCCCGAGTCAGCTTTTGGTCCTGTCACACACAGCAGCAGCGAGATCTTGACGTGGGTATATGTGCTTGTGACGTTTAATGCATGAAGAGAGCCCGGAGTCTGATGTGAAATGGTGGGTTGTAAATGAGAGCAACTTGAGACGGATGGGCTTGACGTGACGCTTCTGCTTTTGCCCAGTTTGGCTTTCCAGCCGTCCCGCTCTTCCCGTCTGCGCACTTCATCTCAATTCTGTGCATAGCCTTTTGAGATCTCGTGTAAACCGTAACGGCACTTGCCATGACCCTTGACACAGTCCACCAACGGTTTGTTTTCTGCAAGTGCCAACTTTGGCCGATGAACTCATCCACGGCTCAGGCCAAGACCCAACGACATCTGCCAACTCGAGCCAAGGCCAGGCGGGGGCGGTAGTGCTGAGTCTCTTTCTTCAAAATCTTTGCCGTATCGTGTGTCCAATGTTTCTTCTGATCTCCCCGACAATGACAAGCGAGAAGACAAGCCTTTTGTCCCCTCTTACTGGCCCCTGTATCGCATCTTCTCCTAGCCCCAGCATCGGCCATCGTAACGGTAGCACTTCGTCGCTTCTCGCGTGCACTTGCCGCAGGCTGCGTCCCATCTCCCCCCGTCGTCATCCGGCTTTGTGACATCTGTCTGGTTTTATGCGGTCCAGGACAGGTCAGGATGGGGGACGGGTGGGAAATGTGAGAAAGGCTTTTTGGGCTTGTAGCAGAGAGGGAGATCCTCAGTAGTAGTGCGCCATGAGAAAGGTTTCAGCAAGGGCTGTAACGAGCAGGGGGTCGCACCAGAACCCCACACGGGCAAGAACTACCTGGTCGTGATCACTTGCTCGAAAGTGAATGTTGCGGCGACTTTCCGTTGCTCGACGGGGAGTGAATAGGCGAGAAAAGAGGATAGGGGATCCGATAAGGGTCGTGGCGAATGTGAGGTCAGAAGACCCGTGGAAAGGAGGGTGGACGTTGCTCTGGTGTACGGAGTAGGGATGAATGGTGAGGGGAAGGAGAAGAGGATGGAGAAAGAGAGATGCTCTCACGAAGTTTGTTTCAACGCACCAGTAGAAGTGGGAATGAATAAGCCCTTTGAGGATGCCCTGGGCAGCGAAAAAAAGGCAGTTGGGGGTCCTAGGTGGTTCTTACTCGACGTCTCTTATCTCTTAATCCTTCTTGCTCGCTTCGGAAGTTCGTAATGGCGCAATCGACAAAAAGGTCAATGTCTCCCACACACTCTTTGCTCGTTTGACTGCCTTTTTGACTATTTGGCAACTCCTCTCTCTATCTCAAGGGTTGCACGAACTCGCCTCTTATGAGTCTTTTTTCCTTCCCTCTTAACCTGATTGAATTATCCGCTCAACATCAGTAATGACCCGAAGCGACGACGTCACGCCAACCCCGGCTCTGACAGGACGATTACTAAGAGCGCTGGGGCTCCCTTCGTCTCCTCTTCTTCCTCGGCGCCAACGTCTGCAGCGGGGCCTCCACCGCCGCGGCGTTTCCACTTCCGGCTGGACTGCCACCGAGACTACCGACAACGACACCGACACCACCGACGCGAACGCGCTGGAGCTCATCGCTTGGCCGTACTCTGCTGCGCCCGCCGCCCCCGCCACAGACCCGTCAACGCCGAGTTCATCGACGCCGACGACAAGCGATTGCTGTTCTCCTAGTTGCGATTGCGAGTACGACCCCTTTGGGACAACGACCCAGCGGCGGCATTCTCCATCAACGCCACTCGAGAGACCACAAGGCCACAGGCGAGCTAACTCTCTCGACTCAACGACCACCACTTCTTCAAACGATTCTTCCTCTTCATCCTTCTCATCGGTATCTTCGCGCTCCCGTTGGAACCCGTTCTCTTCCACGACCGACGAATTGACCACCGTGAACCGACGATTCAACGGCGTAGACGATAAAAGGAGTAAAAAATCGAGAGAAGTCTGGAGGGAATATTGGTGAAGCGCCTTCGCAGACCTAGCAACAGGGAACCAAAATTTCGTTGTAAAAGAGGAGGGGGAGAAAAAATCAAAGCAAAGACTGGGGAAATATGAGCGGCTTCACCAAATTTCGCGCTGGCCTTACAGCCGCCGGCTGCGCTGCCATCATTTTCACAGGCGCCACCTATGGCGCAGGCTTGAAGACACAAAAGGAATGGAAAGAGGTGAGAGAGCATTTCTGATAGAGGAAGTCGCATCGCGAGAAACTAACGAATTCTTCCTCGTCAGGAACGACAAAGCTTCTGGGAGTCTCCATACGATGAGCAAATTTCTCTCCTGCAGGGCCAGCGTGGCCGGTTAGTTACAGAGCGCCGGAAGTGGGAAAGAAAGCTCGAGTATCTGGATGAGAGGATAAAAGAGGGGGAGGCTAAGAGGCCAGAAGGATAACAACGGACGCTATGAAAAGTCTGATATGGTGATGTTCTGTCATGGCCAACAAGAGTTCGGCCTCAAGCAGTAGGCACATCCAAGTAGGATAAGGAATGCTGCTTCCAATGGATCCGCGAAGACCGAGGCGAAAGACCACGATCGGCGGCGGCGCAAAAGCGACCAGCCCACGCGTAGAGCCTTGTGAGCGCCATGGGTAATTTTGTATAGTAAAGTCGATCAAAGGCCATTCGCAAGCTGTACACAAAAGTAAAGAATAATTGTAGCGATCACCACTTTGCGTAATGAACGGCATCCATTACAATCATCAATCCGTCTATCTATGCCCTACAGTGATTTATCCCTTTGTCACCGGCTCGTTTTGCATGCCTCCCATAACCTCGTTATCGCTCGAAAACGCCAAGTCGATGCCCTTAAGAGCTCTGAGCACCTGGATTTTCCTACTCGGTCTTGCCTTCATTATCAATCGTCGGAAGAGGGATGGCCCGGTAGAGACAGATGAGGGCAGAGTGCGACTCGCCACCGCCCGCCAAGGCATCAATCTTGTCAGGGGTAACCTCGGACACCTTGTCGTCATTGAACCACCACCAGTTGCCGTCCTCCTCGCCCTTCTTACCGGTCTTGGGGTCGACAGGGGCCGTCTTCTTGACATAGGCAGTGTAGTGACCGCTATCGGCACTTGCTCCCTGGTGAGTGACAACGCCACGCAGCTCGTAGATTCCGGACTGGTTGGCGCCTTCGTCCTTGGCCAGGTCCTGGTTCACCAGAGCATAGAGCTCCTTCTTGGCAACAGTGAGAGCCGCATCTTTCTCGGCTTCGACCTCAGCGTCAGTCTTGAAAGTCTCAGTCATCTCTGTATCGGCATCAGAAGTGCTGGCCACGGGCTTTCCAGCTCTCTCGGCCTTCTTATCGTTGGCCTTTTCCAAAGCTGTCTTGCCCTCGGGACCTCCAGACGCTCCAGCAACATCGCCTCGGTCGACAGGGTTGATCTTGCGTCTCTTGCGAGCACGCTCAATATCCTCTTCGTCTTTGCGAATCTCGCGAACCTTGTCGCGCACGGGAATAAGAGCCTTCTTGAGCTCATCGGTGCAGAACTCAACAACGTCAAGTTCGTGGGGGAAAGTGACCTTGCGCATGATCTTGGCCTTCTTCTGCACTTCTCGCTTCCAGAAGAATCGCACAAAATGGACCGTAAGATACTTGGGGAGCCGTGAAATTTGCGACTTCTTCGTGTAAGTCGTGTCTCTATCCAGAACGGAAGACTTCTTCTCCAACTTCTCAGTCAAAGCAGCCATAATACCGTCGCGAAGGTGGTTGATTGAGGCATCAATGTGGCAGTTGAGCTTGAGGAAAGATTCGCTTGACTTGACAGGCTCCTCTCCACCATCCCTGGCAGCCTGCTCATCGGCCTCGAGAGTTGACTGAAGCTCTCCAGCCATGTACCTGTCGATAAACGAAGAACCCTCAGACTCGGAGAGCTTCTGCTTCAACTGGGAAATGATCTGAGACCAGGCCTCCTCGGCATCCTGCTGAGCATATCCGGCTCCGGTCTTGGACTTCTCGGCGAATTGGGGGTAGACCATGCGGAGTGTACTCAGGAAAGTCAGCGGGGGAATGGCGCCCTGTGTTTCCGACATGTTCTTGTAGAGATCGGTAAGTTGAGTGGCGATATCAGTCGAAGTGAGGCCAAAGCTACTGCCGGCACCACCGCTACCCGACTTGTGCGTGGTCAGGGCCGTCTGGAGTTCGGGGATCGATCGGAGGGTCTGGAGGGTCGAGTTAAGGTAGCAGGTGTTGCCCAGATTGGTGAGGCCTGCGGGAGTGGCTCCTTCCTGCTGGGCTGCTTCGGCTTCGGTCATGTCCTCAACAAACTTGACTGCTTCCTTGGGTCGAGCGAGATCTGCGTTCTCGCCGGAAGGCTTGCCCATCATCATCAGTGTGGCGCCGGCCTTAAGGCCGAACTTGGCCATGTCGTCGTCATCCTTGACTTGCCTGCCCTTGACAAGAATCTTTTGTCGCTCGGGTTCAACGCCGGTCAGACTGTAGAGCTGATACTTGAAGGTTTCGCCATTGGACGAGGTATCGATCTCGACTTGGTACTTTGTGCCTTGGTGGCTAACGGTGACTATTTGACAAGTCAGACAACAGCAGGCAACGCATTGATTGAGTAATGCTGCTTACCGGGTATTGACGCCATCGTTGTGTCTGTGATTCAGGTCGGCCTTGCTGCAAAATTCTGGAGTAGCCGGTTTTTTCAGTGTGTTGAGATTAAAACCTCGTTGCGAAACGGGCTGTTGAAGGACAAGTTTGTTGAAGGCACCAGGTGGGTTGCGTCAGTACCTACCAAGCATGGAACCTTGAGGTGGGCGGGCAGTAAGGGAGGCAAGGTAGTACAAAGGACTACACGGCAAGATAGCGGGGAAGCGGTGTACCTGCAGGGTCCGTTTCAGCTACCGATTCGCTTATGGCAATATGCCCTTGTCCCTAGCACTTCCGCATGCATTCGACAGTCTTCCAGCATCTTCGGGGAAAGGAGGCTCGAGATAACCTGCAAAGCTTATGGTATTTGTGTCATGTACTTCAATGCTAGAAAATGGAATAGTTGCCCTCATCATCATAGTCTATCTGGGAGCATAAAATAATGTGCCTAGTTCCTGGGTACGTTATTATTCGGTTTTCGAAATGGTCAAGCGTACATACCGTAGTATGCATGTAAAGGGTACAAGCGGGGGATCGCCACTAAGGAAAGAGCTCCAGGATCACGTGAGGAAGCTTCCGGCTGAATCAGCGAAGTGCGGTGACAGCTACGCATGATGTGGAGCTAAGGTACGGCGGTGCTACCAGCCCCACTACGAAACGTCAGGCTTCCGGCTGAGCCAACCTCACGAGCCCCGCGGTCAAGATCCAACTCCAACCTCTCAGCATCACCAAAGGTTGGACGCGGCCACGTCTCGCCATCATGGTCAGTGAACTCTTGTGGTTGGATGAGCTGTGTCTTTGCTAACAATTGGAAACATAGTCTCAATCACTGCGACCCTATCTCCAAGCCGTCCGGAGCAGTCTGACGTCCGCCCTGACGCTCTCCAATTTCGCTTCCCAGACCGCCGAACGTCACAATGTCCCAGAGATCGAGGCTCAAACATCACCTGAAGTCCTCCTGACGCCCCTAACGATTGCCCGAAACGAAAACGAGCGAGTTCTGATCGAACCGAGTATCAATTCCGTGCGGATATCCATCAAGATCAAGCAGGCCGACGAGATCGAGCACATCCTCGTCCACAAGTTTACTCGTTTCCTGACGCAGAGAGCCGAATCGTTCTTCATCTTGAGAAGAAAGCCAATTAAGGTATGAGATACACATCACGGAAGTGTTTGGCGGAGCTTTCAGGGGCTACAATGCCACGTGGCTTACAACTGGCAACGCGAACGACGACACTGACTTACTATTGCACTAGGGATACGACATTTCATTCTTGATTACGAACTTCCACACCGAGGAGATGCTGAAGCACAAGCTGGTCGACTTTATTATCCAATTCATGGAGGAGGTTGACAAGGAGATTTCGGAAATGAAGCTCTTCGTATGTCCCCTCACTGTTGATCCTTCTGCCATGGCAGTTTCTGACAGCACACAGTTGAATGCGAGAGCTAGATTCGTTGCCGAATCTTTCTTGACTCCCGTAAGTCATACTCGCTATTGCAGCGCCAACCGGACACAACTAATGCCCCCCTTAGTTTGATTAAAATACCCTATAACAAGCGTCGCGAACGCCAGGAGTTCAGCTTCAAATCTGCACGGCCAGAATCGTGTAGTTGGGACGAGAATCTCGCACCACGTTGAAGTCATGGACCAAAATCATGAGTTGGAGTTGGATGTTGGCTCGAGCGCTCCCGGAAAACCGGGATCCACTATGGTTCCAACCTTGATATTGGTCCGCAAATCCGGGGCCGAGTGGGAACGACGACATGGAGCCTCCATTTTGATAAACAATTACAGTTATGAACACAACTCTCTCTCCAAATCAAGTGTTGCATATCAGTGAGGCGTTTTCTGATGTAACTCTTTCGCTCTGCTTACCTTATGAGAGCGTTGAAGATTGTTGGAACGTCCATCTAAACATTGCGAGATGTGATGTGACGTCGTAGGATACAACGAAGTCGAAGCCATTCTGCGGCGAGAAACAGCTGATAATTGATCTTAAATGCTGAATAACTCTTGCCATCACGACGACCACGACGTTACCCTCTTCATCTTCCTCGCTCTCGTGTGATTGAGTTTATGCTGGTTGTTCAGTGTGGATGGAATCAGTTTACCTGGAGAACCTCTTGGCGCTTTATATCATTCTACCACAACAAGCGTTTTTGCGCATTCAGGCAACCCAACCAAGTCTTGCCATTGTTGTCGTCCTGACTTGTCATACAACTATCGGCCTAATACTCACCTCCACCCCACCATGCTACGATGGAATACACAACCACCTATTCATTCTACTGCCGCCTCGGAGTCCCTCTATGCCTTAAATCAAAAGCCCCTTCTTCCTTCACATCTTCCTCCCTCCTTCCGTACTTCTCTCCACTTCAACTCAAATTTCTCTCCCCCTTCCCACACACCTCATACACTCAATCAACAATTCCTTTCCGCCCCATCACAACAAATACTCTAGGTCTCAAGTACAATATCGTACTCAAGACTCGACAAAGCCTCCAGGTCTGCTGGTTTTATTGACCTACGCGCATCGTCGAGACAACTGAAAATACCCTCAGTTCTTAGCTCTGCCTTGTTTAGGCTACCTGCTTCTCACGATACTCGTTCGGTCTCTGGTAAGCCTTCTCTTTCATTCTTTTCTGTCCCTCGGCCTTCTGCTTGCCGCGACTCTCATTTTCGGAAGCAGCGACCTGGCAGCACTGAGCTTTTTACCTTATTTTGGTTGTTCAGCGTCCCACCTCACCCTCATCCTCCCTCCTTCAGCCCCTTCAGGCTTTGCTCGAGAGTGAGGTCTTGATTTCTTTTCCTTCACCGCCCAAGCCTTATTCCTTTCATCTTTCCACACCTTTCTTTCTGACAACCTCCCATCGACAGATTTCCATCAGTCACTGTACGGTGATTTTCAGCTGCTTTCTTGGGCCGGTCTGCCTCCCAGCAGTAAGAGTGAGTTGTTTCCTTCTCTGCATATCCAGCGCATTCCACCATCCGTCGGATCTTCATCGCACTTCTTTCTTGACGATGAGGTTTCTTCTGGTCTTTTTCGTCTGTTCCTGAGCTGTAGATTGAGCTCAGAGAAGCGACGAAGGCTTTCCTAGGCAAAAACGCTTGCACTCTTTCGGGATCCTTGAGAAGTCACTCTCATCATCGATGAGAGACTCACTCGCTTTGCTTCTGCCAATTTCTCCCAGCTTGCCAAATTTGCGAGACTTGGTTCTGCGTTCACCACCTCACTCTCTTCACCTCGTGTGCCCTTGCCTTTCCTGGCGCTCTCTGCTCTCACCTCTACAAGTCACTTGTTCTTGCCTTGTCTCTCATCCCCAGGTCCTACTCGCCTCTTTTCATACTTTCACCTGGCGTCGGTTCTCAACGCTACTCACATTGGCTGCGCAATCACTAATCGCATACTTCTAGAGCACTTACTGTTATCACACGCATTCACCACATATACTGCCATCAGTACCCCTCACTAGCATCATTCTTGTTCTTCCTGTTCTCAGCAAGGATTACGCCTAAGTGTTGCTCATCATGGTCTACTCTCAGGTACCTAGTATGAAGGGCAAGGAGAGACAGCAGCAGCGTCGAGTGCGTAACAGCGTCCTCCAGTTTGCGTTCAGGCCTCGCGCTGTGCCGGAGACTGTTGTTGAGACAGAGACTGCCATGGAGAATGGCGACCACGACAGTGAGCCTGGTGGTGCCCGCCTCGATACTGATCCTTTCGGTCGCAACCAGCAGGGCCAGAATCATATCTTAGCCAGCTCCAGCCTCAACCCTTCTTCCTCGCCTTGGGTTCCCAACTCCTCTCAGGCCCAACAGACCACTAGCAAGGTATATATACTAAACATCTCGAAACTCTCTTATCAGCCTTGGTTCGATCTAACACTCACATCCAGATTGACCAGCCCGAGATCGCTGAGCTTGACGGTACTCCTCAGTATATTGGCGCCAACGGCAAGATCCAGGGCCGTTCATCGATTCCCGCTCAGAACTTTGGATCCAGCTCGAATGGTGCAGTTTCATACTTGAGTGGAACAGTCGGAAACAACTATCGCGTTGCTCTCCCGAAGATGGCTATCCAGGCGAACCACGGCCAGCTCACCGGCAGCTCCTCCATGGGCAATTTGGGTATCCAGATCCCTGTCCGCCAGGACATTGGTGGATTGCTCTATGACCATGGCGACAAGGAAGTCATCGATCTGACTGGTGATGATATTAGTTCCGGCAGCGATACTCCCAAGGCAAAGGGTGTTGGTAACAGTGGTCTCATGACGGAGCCGCGCAACTTCGCTCCACGTACCATGAACCACCTTGGAGCGCCTCCCAAGTTCAACTTGATCAAGATCAACAACGGCGCCGATGCCCCTGCTTTGGTCACTCAAGACCCTTTCGTGTCTTCCGCTTCGCAAGTTGGCGCTATTCAGCCGTCTGTGCCTGTGTTTGGCTCGCAGATTGACACTACCCACTTGCTTGCGACTGGTCAGATCCCTTTCCCTGCCGCGACAGGCGAGACTCTGCACTTCGACAATCTCCCTCGCGATGACGATGAACCGTCCATCCAGAACGATATCAACAGCCAGATTCCTCAGCTCAACTCAACCAACGGAGGACATGCTGCCAACGTTCAGAACGTGCCTGCCCGGCCGGTGGGATTGTCTCTGCCGCAGCCTCCTCAGGCCCTTCCTCTTGCCGGGAACAGTGCGGCAATCGTTCCTTATCAGGCTTCTCATCAGGCTTCTCATCAGGATACTTTCCAGCGTGGCTACCAGCTCCAGGAAACAGTCGCGACTTATGGTGACGCTGTTTCTGACTACATCCGCGCTCAGCGATCGACGCAGCTGAACCGCCTCACCGGCGGTCCCACGGGTCGACCTACCTCGAATGAGGCTATGCATCAAGTGAACTTCCCGTTCGTTGAGCCTCCCCCCCGTGCTTCCCACTTCATGGTTCGCGGCGTCATCAAGATTGGCAACGTTCGTTCACCCAATATCCTACTCATCGTTATCATTGGCACTGACACATAACCAGATTCCTTTCGTCACTAACCGCTCCGAGATCATTGCGATCCTGGGTCGCAACTCCCGTATGCTCAATGACACTGATGAGCCTGTTCATATCATCATGGAGCGTGTCACTGGCAAGACCACTGACGCTTACGTCGAGTTTCACACCCTGGAGGATGCTTCCAAGGCCGTTGAGAAGCATCATCAGAACCTTGACCGTGGTCGTGTCACTCGCATTGGCCAGCGCCCTGTCGAGATCGAGCTTTCCAGCCAAGCTGCTCTCATGAAGGACCTGTTCCCCAACGCCAGGGGTGTGTTCTGGGCCGGTCTTCACCCCCATGTCCTCCCTGACAACGACCAGGAGCCTTGGGACAACTTCAAGGGCTTCGTGTCCAACGAAGAGATGACCATGCTGGTCAAGCATGTCGAGGTTCCCCACCGTGTAAGTCTCTTCATCTTGACGTGCTCATGAGCCTGCGGCTAACTATTCTAAAGTCACCCTTTTCGAAGGAGTGCCCGCAGCGTCCGTTCGAGTGCCTCATCAGCACCCTGACCAAGTTCCCTTGGCAGATGAAGGGCCACGTCACTGTTCAGCAGCGTCATGCCATGTACAAGGCCACCTGCGATCTCCTCCGCATCCTCGTGGGCAACATTCGCGACAAGCGCGACGAGGTCAACCTTACTCATCGTCTGTGCAAGCGAGTCGTCGCTGCGGCAATGCGCTGCGAGGGCTTCTCGATTGCCCAGAAGGACGATATTGCCTTCATTGTCAACATGAGTGAGATGGAGCAGCGTTCCTTTGGCCAGCCGCGCTTTGCCGAGAGCTGGCGCCACCTCTATGTCCTGGTTCCCAAGAATGGTGTCCCCTTGGATGTCATCGAGGTAAGTTATATCCCTATTCCGCTTATCTTCACATTGGAATGATGGTATGGGAATGAGAGAGTCTGGAGCTAATCAGTCATCTCTCGCAGTGGTACATTGCCCTCATCCGCGAGGAGACTATTCGCTACCTGGAGATGCAGTCTTTCCAGGAAAAGTGCAAGACGTGCACCATCGGCGAGGCCACTGACGGATACTTTGGCTTCTTCTGGCGCGAGTTGAACCTTCGTGTTGGACCTGAATTCGACCACATTTCTCTTGCAACTCTTGCCATGCACGAATACCAGACACTCGAGACGATCATCCGCCGCGCCCTGACTCCTTCTATCGGTCACTAATGTCGACATACAACAGACCTGGGAAACAAGGCAAGGCAAAAATGGGGTGCTGAGATGGCTTCAACTGATGAAAGTTGGCACATGGCTTCGGAACTTCTCCTTTTAGCTCTGCTTATCTGCACTTTCACGTTTACGGCACTTGGCTTGAAGAAGTGAGCCATTTCGCCCCCATGGTTTTTGCATCATGCCTTTTGTTTCTTTGGCTTTCTATCCTTGGGAGTTTGGACGAGTCAAGGACAGGATGGAGGGCTCGGAAAATCAGGATGGTGTCCGTTGGTTTGTCGCACGCTGACATCTGGAAACTATGGATGTTTCTGGGTTTCTTTCACAGTTGGGGGATGGGCTTCTGAAATTACCTTAGTGAGATAGGGGTTCGAGTGGTTGAAATTCTCTATACCCGATCAATAAGACCTCTAGAGCAGTTCTCTATAACTTATTGGTACACAGCCGTTGTCACTCCTTTTGTTGTTTTCTTTGTTCTTGACGGATTGAAACATTCCCGTCAAAACCGTCGTTGGGGCACAACGTCGGATAGGCTGGCGTAAATTTCGCGTGGCGCGCAGACGGCGTAATGGCGTTAAAGAGCTGACTGGGTGATGGAAACTTAAACGTCCCGTTCGTGCAGTTGAGGTTGAAGTTGGCGAGTGGGGCGCCTTAGTCAGCCTATCCCAGACACGGGGACTCTTGGGCTGATGGGCCAGTCACAGTACCGCGAAGGGGGAGTGGAGAAAGAGTGCACTAAAAGCTGCAGGTACCGCCTAGACCTGGAGCGGCATCGCCCAGCATCGTGCGGCAGCTGGTCCATCAGTCCTGCACGCGGCAGCGCAACCTGCCCTGCCCCAGGGGAGTTCGATAGGGCGACCGCTCAGTGCGCATTTTGGCAGTTTTGTTGGCTTCCCGGGGAAGCACCTACCTCACCTGAGGCACGGACCAGCGGAGCGGAGCCCTTTCTATTTTCTCCGTCGTGCCTTCCTTTCGCAAGGTTCGTTATTTGGACGGTACCGGAGGGTCGTTTGGGAGATCACCGAGGAAATATTCGTAGTATTATTTTGGGGCCTGACGCTTGCACTAACTTGGAAAACCCGACTCAATGGTCTGCGGCAAGGACAAGAAGGACAAAAGACCAAAAAAAGCCCCTGAAACATTTTGACGACGCGGGCGGACAGCTGGCTTAACGGCATTCGGCGGCGGCTGATTATGGCGGGGCACATTGGTACCGGAGGTTGGAAGATCGGAGGTAATTGGGAGCCCTGGGGGGTAAAGGGTTTAATGAGATATCCGTGTTGATGGAGAGGCTTCGCATCGATCGTGCTGCCTTGAACTCGACCAGCCGTCTTGTGGCCCAGGTAATGCTCTTTCTGCTCAATCCATATCACAGCATATCGAAGCACCACAGACTTTGAGGTTACATCGGTCCATCGATCATTGATGAGGTTGAGTGACTCGAGTACTCCGTAGTGTAAACTTGCGGCGTGGTGTACAGTAGGGATGGCTTGTCAAGGCAGTGGTCCTTGCTCAATTTTGCAAGTTTCCAACGAGGAAAATCGGTATCAAACGTAAAAACCAACAACAACAAGTGCCTTACTTAGTTCACGAGTGACGAAGCTTCGTTGGACGGGACAAGACTTGGAAAAAGGAAGAAACAACTAGGAACAAGGAAGTTCTGGACAAGGAGTTTACATGTCAGGACTGTGACCCCATCCAAGCTCCGTCGAAACAGAGGGCGCAAATCACCTGTAAAAAAGGGGGTCCATCTCCACTCCACTCTCCCGTCTGCACAGGCCAGGACTGAAGCAGCCCAGCTGAGATTGTTTCTGGAGATGCGAGTCTAGAGTACGAATACCTACCTTACTACGTAGTGAGTGGCAGTGGCGGCGGCATCATCTTCATCAAGAAAACATCACTGGCTGGATGGGTTGATACCTCGAGTCTCCCCGGAAGCAACGCACGGAGCACTCAAGACGGGTGAATGGTAACGGCCTGGCGTGAAGCATGACAGGTGCCTCACTCTTAGGTAGAATAAGGTAGGTACCTGGGCTGAACTTGTAAATAACCCAAGGGAAGGTACTACCTACCTTACTTACCTTAGATGATGATGGGAGTAAGGATGAGAGTGACCCTTGGTTCTTGGAACATGAGGTGGACTGGGTGACTGGCCAAGGTACCTTCCCGAGGCAAGGAAGGTTCATTTTGGGTTCCATTGCTCTTTCCCGTTGCCGTTGCTGCCACAACTTGTCGTTGCCGCTTCGTGTGGTGTGTGTGGTCTGTTTGCTGCTGCCACTTTCCGTCTCCCATCAGATTCAATTACTTTTAGTACCCGAGCGCACCTCGTACCTTCCTTCCATTTGCAATTCCTGCGTACCTTCCTTTTCATATTCCCAAACTCTCTCTCTCTCATCGTACCTGCCTATTATATCTACCGCCTGGCCTGCCTACCTGCCTGATTACCCAACAATACATTCACTTTCAAAGGGGAAAAAATAATACCTAGTCACCCCAACAGACCGGGACAGATACCACACACGCGCACACCCGCACGCTACCTTACCTTACACACACTCTCGCACACACCTGAGGCAACTTGACGCGACTTTGCAGCAAGAGGGGCTGGGGCAGAAAAACCGGCCTGAACTTTTTTTCTTATCATCTTATTTTTCCGAGCGAAAAGACGCCAGCCAGGAGCTGTCACTCTCGGAAATTTCACCCTTCACTTCCCACAGTCATTCCTTGACACCCTCTCACTTTCACTTTCACTCTCAGACTCATCTCACTCACGGAATTTTCTGATCCCCATCATGTCTGCTCAGACCACCGACACGCCCGTCGCGGTGCCTGCCCCTGCTGTTGCTGCTGAGGCGCAGCCGGCCGTCGCTGCACCTGCCGTAGAGCCGACTTCGGTCGACGCTCCCGCGCCCGCCGCCGTTGCTGATGCCACCCCTGAGGTCAAGCAGGAGCAGAAGACTGAGCAGCCCGCTGCAGCTGCTGCTGAGAAGACGGAGGACAAGGCTGATGAGAAGGCCGGCGCTCCTGCTGCCGAGAAGCCTGTTGAGAAGGCCCAGACTCCCCTGTCTTCGCTCTTTGAGAAGCTTCCCACCATCTTGGCTGAGGCCAAGCACAACGAGATGTGGGGTGTGCAGCTCTCCGACGACACTCACATTCCCACCACCGTCGTCCTGCAGAAGTTCCTTCGCGCCAACGACGATGATGTCTCCAAGGCTGCTGACCAGCTCCAGAAGGCCTTGGTTTGGCGTCGTGACACTAACCCCGGCAAGCTTCTTGATGAAGTCTCCTTCGATGCAAGCAAGTTTGGCGATCTCGGCTATGTCACCACCCACAAGGACGCCCAGGGCAAGGAGATGATCATCACCTGGAACATCTACGGGGCCGTCAAGGACAGGAAGGCCACCTTTGGCAACGTCGATGAGTGAGTGATAACCCGAGAAAATGAGATTCCCTGTATCGCATGAAATAACATTTGACTTACACAACTGAATAGGTTCATCAAGTGGCGCGCTGCCCTTATGGAGCTCAGCGTCCGCAAGCTTAATCTCGACAAGGTCCAGACCGCCATCCCCGATGGCGGCGAGGACCCCTACCAGATGATCCAGGTTCACGACTACCTCAACGTCAGCTTCCTTCGCATGGACCCTGCCGTCAAGGCCGCCTCCTCTGAGACGATTAGAATCTTCGCCATGGCCTACCCTGAGCTTCTCGTCCACAAGTACTTCGTCAACATCCCCGCGCTCATGGGCTGGGTCTTCAAGGCGATGAAGGTCTTCCTCGCTCCCAAGACCATCGCCAAGTTCCACCCTCTCGGCTATGGTTCCGAATTGGGCGGAGAGCTCCCGGCCTACAAGGACTCGCTCCCCAAGGACTACGGTGGAAACGCTGAGAGCATCAAGACCACCGGCCAGACCGTCAAGTTCGCAGAGGCTGAGGCCCCTGTCGAGAAGCCCGCGGCTGATGCTACTGCTGCTCCCGTCGTCGCCGCGCCTGTTGCAACTGAGACCCAGCCTACCGCCGAGGCTCCCGCGGCTGTCACCGCTGAGACCCCCGCTCCCGCAGTCGCTGTCAGCGAGCCTGCCGTCGCTTCTGAGCCCGTCAAGGCTGCTCCTGCGGCCGCTGAGGCTGAGAAGACCGAGGTTCCCACCGTCGCCGACTTGAGCATCAATGACAAGACTGAGGCTAAGGAGGAGGCCAAGACTGTTGCTGCCTAAAGGATAACTTGATGGCTTGCATGGTTTGATTCTCTATTCGTGGCTTTTTTTCCTTTTGTTACATGCCTTTGAATCTGCGGGCTGAACCTCGGTTGGTTTTGGCGAGAACATGAGAATGATGTTGTCGCAAGAGATCCATTGGGTTTCTAGGCATCCATGGTTTGTTCGCTCCATCCCCAGTAGAGGCATGGCAGAGTCCTTGGTTTGCCCACTGCGTTTTCTCCTTGCGTTCATGCCATAATACCCTTCTAGTGTGTGTTTGTGGCGTTGTCAATTCGAATTCAATTTTTTCGATCGAAGACAGGAAGGAAAGAAGGATCAGAACAGAGAGACTAGCAGGAAAGGATGGGAATGTCTCCTCTTTAATACCTAGGTTAGGAAGAAGAATAAAATCAAATTCGACAGTTCAAACCTGCGGGAAACTTGAGGGTGTTAGAAATGTGCAAAGACCGACTGACTCGAAGAAAGGAGAGCTCCATCTAGAGTGAAACCGCACAGCTTTCCCTTGCCCCCTTCTGCTTCTTCGTCTTGCATGTTTGGCAGCCTGTCGGCCGAGTGCATGGATACCTATCCTCGAAGAGTGTGGTGATTGTGCCGCCGGGTGGTTTGCGCACCTACCTGCCTTGTTCGACCCGCATCCCGGGGGGGTTTAAGCAGCGGCATTTCAAGCAAGGTAGCAAGTAGCACACTCGCGTATTCCGCGATGCTTAACTGCAGAACACTACGGTTATATGGTTTTCAGCCCACGTTGGGAAGCACTTCCGACGAGTCTTTCCAGATGAATATTCGACCGGTTCTACTTCACCTCGAAAGGTGCGCAGTACCAAATGATGGGGATCTGAACTCAGTCATGAGTCCTCGAAGTGCCAAACAGTATTGTAGTCTATCTCACGAATTTTGCGAGGTTCTGACCGCACTGATTAAGCGGTGCTCATGTCCTGTCAAATTGATCTCATTCGTCGATGAGTGCGGTTATCGTCGCGGGCATTGTTGTTTGAATTGTATGTTTCCAATAGGATGCTATTGAGTGCAGCACCACTAGCAGACCTACTCTCAATCCAGCGCGAACCAAACCAAGCAATTTGTAAACTGCTTACTGCACCATATATTTCTTCAACTTTCTGATCTATGCGTGATGTCGGTTTGCATTTCATGCCCCGTGAGGGCATTGGCGCCTTGGTCACCAACGGACGTTCCGAGCCTCGATGTTAGAATCAACAGTAGAGCTGCCCTTTCTGAGAGTAACTCTCAAGGAATAGTGACTGAGAAGCATCCAATCACTCGAAAATAACACTTCAAGGTTGTCTATACTGTCATGATAGTGTCGTTTTGGTTGTAGATCCGAAACAGATTAGCCCCGAGTGGTCCCCAAGTGTGACGTGATTCGGGAATCCCACCATGCCTATCTCACCATTTGAGCCTGCCACTCAGAGTCCATGATGATGAACCTGACCGTATATAAGGCAGACTGATAGCTTCATCTTTGAAAGTTATCATAAGTGGTAATCATTAGTACCATAAGCAAGTCATTGTTGTTTGTTAGTCAGATAACATCTTATGGTCAGAGCTGGAGTCCATGTTAGGAGTGTTTGCTTGCGGACCCCAATCAGTCGAATCCACATGGGTGTCCCAATATGGCGAGTGGTCGAGACGAGGAGGAGGATGCAAGTATGGTGTGGTGTTGCCCATCATGCCTGTATCGGGGCGAGGCTCAGAGCAGCAGTACGGCGGTGGCGCCGGCGATTGAGGCAAAACGCAGGAGGTGGTCCGAGAAGATACAAGCAACACAACCAGATGACACTTGAACCTTGCGTTTTCAACGACACGAGGATCATGAGCAAGCTCAATTTTGCAAAACCGTAAATCGATGGATTGGTTGCTGGAGGTTGTAAGATTGTGACGGAGCCGACTTTGGTTGTTTCGGCTTATCCGGCCGTGTAGTTGACTAGACCGTAAGTCAGCAGGATGAAGGATCCGATGTTCAGGGAGTATGTACAAGTGGAGGAGAGGCAAAGACGAGAGTGAGAATAGGACTGGATGAATGGAGAAGAGAGGAGACACACACACAGAGAGAGTCCCGTGTACGCACACGCAACACAACACGGACCGAACAGGGTTCTGTTTACCTTTAGAGGTTCCCCAGCCCAAAACGAACGAGGCCCGAAGAGAGGCCAGGTCACGTCCATCCATCCGCATCCAGAGACGACGGAATCTCCATGTTCTTACTCTCTCACTGTTATTTGCCCCTCTCCGTCTGAATCACATCCACTCCCCATATTCTCGGTAGATTGTGTACATGTCTCATGTACACACTCTATGATATTGAAAGTCACCAAATCTACGCAAGACCAGCGCCAGTCGAGACCGACCAAAGTCAGACAAGAGACGCACAAACTAAAGCAGAAGTGAAGAAGCGCGGCGGCGTATGCTGGCCCAACACACCAAGGCAAGCCTTCCCGCGCTGGTTCTTTCACAAGGGGTACAAAGGTCAGCAAGGCCCCGTTCCTCACCTCAGCGTCTCTCGTTTATCCAGAAGCACCTCTCTCGCCTCTTGCTCCCGTCTTCCCCGTCTCTATCTCTTTTTTGCCCTCTCATTTTCCAGCATTTGCGTGCGTTGGCTCTCTCGACTACGTCTCATACAAATCCAAGCCCGAACTACTGGGTTCGATTTCTCTTACACCTTCCCTGGGTTGACTTTTCGCAATTCAGTCAATCCTATCGCTCTCTGTCTCCGCAAACGGTGAAGAGGAGAGTCGACAGAGCCGAAACCTAACGGACATATCCGTCAAGTACTCAGAGTTAGGTGGCCAAGGCAGGCCGCAAAGTCAAGCAGAATAGCCAGCGGCAGCCAGACCGATAGAGCAAGCAAATCCATCAATCAACAACCGCCGGTCAAAACACCTTGATCCATCCATTAAATCAATCAAATCAGTCGCGTCCCCACTCCCCACGCTCTGCCCGTGTCCTCAACACGACACTGGATAACCTGACGGGACGGAAGCTCCCTCAAAGCCATCCTTCTTTGCCAACCCTTCACATCCCACCATCCGCACCAATTCCTCCTTTCACCTACTTCCTTACCGCAAGGTACCCTAACTTACCTTAGACTCCGTGTCTTTGTCTCATCCCTCCATCTCACCCTACCTTACCTTGCCACACCACACACACACACACTACACTCCACCTCACTTCCTGCTCTCCGGCTTATCACGACTCACCCTCCAGCGCTACAGCTTCTCACGCGCTTTTACCAGGAATTGAACTGCGCTTATTCAAAGCAATATCGAAAATCCATCTCAGAATTTCCAACAAACCCCAATCGTCCAATTGTCCAATACAGACTTCGGAACTCGGGAACAACTTTTTGACTTTACCAATTTTTATTCGGGTTCCCTTATTCCCTCATCTTTCCCCCTTTTTACACTCCCTCCGCTTGTCAAGGTACTCGACTGAAGTGCGCTTTGGTTTGCTACGGCACAGAGTACTTCGTCTGCCAAATACCCTCGCAAACTACCTTCACCTTATTGCCACTCAATGCCCGGCCGGTAAGGTGAGAGCTAAGAGGCAGCGAACGAGCCAATTCTGCGTGCCTAGGGAGACGGTTTCCGCACACACCCCGGTCTAATCCCTCTCCTTGGCCTTTTTCGTGTCTGGAACTTCTCTGGACCTCCCACCCCCAACTTTCTTCCCACCTCGCAACACACGCACACTCTATTTTGGAACGCGTCGCATCTCCCCTCTACCGACCTCCAAACACGACATAAACGACGCAAAAGTTCAAAATCGCGTCGAGACTGGGTATTTTCGCCCAATATGTCTCTCCTACATAGCGATAGCGGCTTGCTTTCCGCTCTCGCTACTGACTCCTCCTCCAACATCGCGTCTTCCAGCTCCACGCCTCCCACCAGTATATCCGATGTTGCCAGCCAGGCCTCAGAGGGCCCCAAATTAGACGACATCCCCATCATTCTCGAGACCGAAACCATTATTGAGACCGAAATCGAGGCTCAAATCGAAATCCCTGCGGATGCCATTCCGACTCCCGACCCTGCACCCGAAACGCCCTCGGAGCCCCAACCCGCAGCGCGCCCACGTCGGTCTTGCTCCGGCAAAGGTGTATACAACCTTTCAAAACTCAGTGGCACGGCGAACCGCGGTCACCGCCGCTCCAAGGGTGATATTGTCGCTGCTGACCGGCGCCGGACCATTTCTGGCGAGACGCTTGTCAATGGCGGAGCCAATACGGACGAAGTGGCGCGTGTCGCTAGCAACCTTGTCCGCGACGGCATTGACGCGTTGGACCTCCAATGGTCTGTTGGGGCTCTCAAGACACCGCGTGCGAAGAAGATTACTACGGAAAAAGCAGCAACGTCGCGGATTACTCGTCACACGGCGCGTCTTATCGGAACCCCTGTCGAGACTCTTGCGACTAAAGTCTCCAATCTCGGCAAGCGGAGTCGCAAAACCTTCGAGAAGAACATGTCCAAGATTCCCCGCGAATTGCGCCGCCTGCAAGACACCAAGGAGTTCACCGGCATTGACGAGAAGCCTGTCATCAGAACGGTCTGGTCTAATGGAAAGCTCGTGATCTTGGACGAAAATGGCAACATCCCCGCGCCACCGGCCAAGAAGGCCAAATCTGAGCCGCTCGAGGCCAAGAAAGAGGAGGTAGAGGAGAAGGCCGAGAAGGCTGCCGACGCCCCCTCCAAGAAGACGAAGCGTCACAAGAAATATCTCGATCGTGGACTGTATGCCGGCCAATCGGCTCCGTCTGATTTGACCAAGGGGCTGTCGATACCTGAGCAGAGAAAGCTTGCGCAAACACCGGAGCTCAAGGACTACGGTCGCCCCAACAAGGCCCTTCCATTGCCAATGTTTAATGGACTGCGCCTGTTGCTCAGCGGTCGCGATTTCAAGCTCCCCTTTGATGTTTGCAATCCTTTGCCGCCTGGCCAGCCGAAGCCCGACGACTTCCGCAAGATGACAAAGAGTTAGATTCCCATCGCCGCTAGCTGACTCCCCTCACTGACCTTGATACAGATCGTTTCGTTGGCGATTCTCTGAGCCTGTGGAAGAAGACGCCGCACTTCATCGACCAGTCCAAGTGCGTCTGCAAACCCGAGGACGGATGCAGTGAAGACTGCCAGAACCGAATCATGCTGTACGAGTGCGACGACAAGAACTGCAACGTGGGCCGGGAAAACTGTACAAACCGCGCCTTTGCCGATCTTCAAGAGAGAAAGGCAGGTGGTGGCAAGTATCGCGTTGGTGTCGAGGTCATCAAGACGTCAGACCGTGGCTACGGCATTCGCGCGAACAGATGCTTCGAGCCGAACCAGATTGTCATGGAGTACACCGGCGAGATCATTACTGATGAGGAATGCAACAACCGCATGGAAACCAAGTACAAGGATAACAAGGTGGGTAAAGACCTAGTCAACTTTGACGCCCAGCAGAGCTAACCGTATCACCAGTGTTACTATCTCATGAGCTTCGATCAGAACATGATTATCGACGCCACGACCGGTAGCATCGCTCGCTTCGTCAACCACTCATGTGCTCCCAACTGCCGCATGATCAAGTGGATTGTCTCTGGCCAGCCCAGAATGGCGTTGTTCGCGGGGGATAAGCCCATTATGACGGGCGAGGAACTCACCTACGACTACAACTTCAGTCCGTTCAGCGACGAGAATGTTCAAAAGTGTCTCTGCGGCGCGCCGAACTGTCGAGGGATCTTAGGGCCTAAGCCTCAGGAAGTCAAACAGCCCAAGCCTCCCAAGTCGACTATCAAGGCTGTCGTCAAGAGCGCTGTCAAGGCGAGCAAGAGAAAGATCGAAACGATGATTGGCGACGAAGAAGACGGCGGCTCCGCAAAGAAGCGCAAGATCAAGGCCGCCAAGGGAGTGAGACGATCACTATCCTCGACCGGCCTGCTCACCAAGGCTGCGTCCAAGGGCGCAGCTACGGTTAAGAGACGTGTGTCGGCCATGGCAATTCTCGGCGGCACCAGCAAGACGAGCACCCCGGCGAAGTCGGCCAAGGGCACAAAGGCGACTCCGGCAAAGACAACAGCAAAGAAGGCAACCCCGAAGAAGTCGACTCCGAAGAAGTACACGGCTCCCAACCCCGCGCGCAAAGCTACCGCAGTCCGTAAGTCGGGCTCCGGAAAGATGCTCAAGACGTACGGAAAGGTCTCGCCCAAGAAGCTGAGCAGTCGTGCGCCGAGCATGACGATTGTGGCCGCGGGAGCAGAGAACGAGGAGGAACTTACCCCGGAGAAGAGCAAGGGCCAAAAGCTTCACAGAAGTCTTAGCAAGGCATCTCGCAACGCACTGGAAGAGCTCTCACGCGGTTCCACGATCCGTCTCGTAAGCCCTGAGCTTGTGAGCCCGGGGGCCACGATCACAGCCCGGCAAGATTAGGCGAACCAGTGGCGAAGTCTGGGCCACACTGCATGAGGCATTCACGATGCCTCATTCATCATATTGATTCTTGACGTCGACAAACGAGGGCGGCACGGATGAGTTTGGCGTTGGCAAGGTGTTTTCGGTCATTCAACAGGCGAAACGGAGGCAAGGCATTGTACATTACGGGAATCGAGGGAAGGACGACATGGTACAGGGGAGAGACGAACGAAGAAGTGACGAAAGGGGGGGAGGCAATGAGAGACAAGGACGTCGAAGCTTCTGGGACGGACATCGGTCTCTGCCTAAGAGTTGGGCATTCTCGCTTCTCCCCTGCGATATCTGGCTGCATACGTTTTATCGGAACTGGGGGACTTCATTGCCAGTTGCAGAGAGGGTCTAATCATCTTTTTTTTACTTTTTTCCTCCTCAGACGGTGGTCAGCAGCAGCAGTTTTAGGCATATTTTATTTTTAACTGGCATGTTACAACCTTCTTCCGTCCATTGCTTCTCGAGTACGCGAAGAGACGCTAAATTTGATGATGACGCGAGGTGTGACTTTTAACGACAACCAATGGATTTATTCTCCAGCATTTCGTGACTAGCGTGAGGTTGAATTCGTTGACCGAGCCTAGTCTGTCAGGCTGCACGCGCTGGTTGAGGTCAGAGGGGTGGTGAGAGAGCGAGTATTTCCATCCGGGTACGAAGGTGAGGGAGGGAATCGAAGAGGTGAGGCGGTGATTGGGTGATGTTTATGACCAATCGACACACCGAGGTGGACTCGTCGGTCAAGAGAGAAAGGTACGTACCGAGTAGCTTTGGAATGGAACGCTGCATGGACCTTTTATTTATGTACTCCCGGGCGGCGGGACCCATTTCTCCCCTTGGCCTTCCGCCTACGACCTCTGGGCTCTGAGACTGTGATAAAGTCGTGGGCGGGCCTGTGGCTGCCCTGTGCTGAGAATAGTTCCAGAAGCCTGCCTAATTAGATAGGGATTGGGAAACTGCAACCTCGGGCGCTGTGGCGAAGCGACAAACAGCAAACGGCGCTGGGGAACAGCCGTTGGGATGAGGTTGGCCGCTGGCGTTCGCGGTACGACGGTTTCGCGACGAGTTGGATGAGGTGACTGATTCTGTACTTTTCTTTTTTGCTTTTTGGACGTCGCCAGTCACTTCGCTCTCGACTACCAAGGCGTCTTGGTCTAGGGTGGAGTCTTGTCTCTTGTTCCCGTCCTTTCTGCCTCGTCGGGCGGTATCGGGCGGCCCGCTACGGTTTCCTAAACATGGCTGTTGTTTTCTCTGTGTTTCTTTGTTCTCTAAACTTGGCTTGCAAAAGGGTTGCACTGTTGGCAGACGGACGTGCTCATCGCAGGCAGGCGGCAGGACGAGGTGTGGCGGCAACACGCCGGGTCTTACTCTGACGACAGCTGAAGCGAAACACTTATGGTGTGGCTTGTTGTGGCTAACCCACCTACCTACCTTAACTTACCTATTGGTAGGTAGGTATGACGGGCAAGGGGAAGGAGAGCCCCATACCGTCTGCCCGCCCGTCTGTAAAGTGGGGCCACAGGGACACCTGATTGACGGTGAAGGGAGGTCACGCTTTTGGCTCGCCGAACACTGACTTTACCCGGCCGGTGTGTTGCTTCCGTTTCTTTTGTCAATGTCATTCCTCTCCCGCCAATAAAACCTAGGGCAATCAGCTTCTACCGGTATCGCTCTTGCTTTGCGGTCATCGATTCGCCGTTTAGGAATGGGGAAAGAAGAGCCTCAATTAGGTATCTGGTCATACGCGCCACTTTGACCCAACCAAACGACGGCTGGATTGCTCCGCCACCCACTCTGCATTTTTTGAGCCGCATTTCCTTGACTACCTTGGTACCCCTCCATGATCATTGCTTTCCACTCGTCGTGTGTTCCTCAACTACCTACCTACTTTCGGGAAAGGCAGACTTTGACTCCCTTTCCGCAACCGCGGACGGTGCTTCACGACCACTGAAACTGACACTCAGTTGCTCAATTCCGCACCTGCGTACTTACGAACATGCGCCGCTGCGCTACTCAGTACCTTTTAGCCCCTCCCCGGGAGCCTAGCTCCTGGATCAAGTGGGGCCGAGGACACTGTCATCCTTGAGCTTCACCTTCCCAATTACCACGACATACCTACCGCAGAGTTGCAACTTTTTCTACACGAAAGCACGAGGCAACCAGCGCTAAAGGTACGAGCCACCTTCGATATCCACTTTTTTGGTCGGATGCTTTGCTTTACATTTCCAACTTGTCACAAAAATCCAAAAACTTGATTCATTCGCTATGCCTGAGTTCTCGCCCTGAGGCTAAGTCTATCTAATTTCTATGTTGTCTCGATGCTGTGGAGGGGTCGCTTCTTTGTGTGTTGAGTGGTTGTTAATGAATGAGTGGCTGTGCCCGACCAGCGGCTGCCTTTCTTTCCTTTCCTGTCATTCTCCGTCTTGCGTGTTTTTCGTCCTTGTGGTCCTTGTAGCGGCACCTTTTCCCCTTCCTGCTGTCTGAAGGTTTCTTGTCTGTTAGTCGCTATTGCGACTGCTGGCGTTGAAGTTGAAGGACGTGTCGTCCAAGGCGCCAGTCATGGGTGTGGGACCTGGCCATGTCAGGCAGGTCGTGATATGGCGAGTGCCATCGAGAAAGGGCTCGTTGTCTACGAAATTCCTTGTTAGTCTCTGACAAACGTCTTCAAGGCCAGTGCCATGTTGAGAGACTCAGACTCACTTATCGACCAGCCGGAGTCCTGATCGTCGTTGTCGTGCACCCAGAGCACTTCTGGTGGTAGCAGTAGGGACAGTAGGCATCGATCTTGCAGTTGAGCGGGCCAGAGGAGCAGTTGTGCTGAGAGAGGAGAGTTGGTTAGCAAAAGGACGAGACCAAGTGATGAAGAGCTGTGCGTCTCTGAACTTACGCAGTACCAGACGGTGATCTTGACGGTGGTGGGCTTAGGCATGATGGGCGTGCGTTTGGAAAGCTTAGCAAGTGTATGAGCTGATTTGACTGCTGTCTGTTGCGGTGCTAGTATAATGCGTCTGGTTCTGATGTGTTTGTATGTTTGAGTTGATGATGCTTCTTCTGTTTCGTCTTCGAGATGAAGGGAATTCGATGGGCTTATAACCTGTTCTGTTGAGGCAACAGTTGCAAGTGTAATTGGAACAGTCCCATGGCTAGGAGTCGCGCGAGTGCGCATTTCCCAATCCCCTAGTTCGCAAACCTCGGTGAGTATCAAGCATCTTTGTGGTTTGCACGCTTTCTTCGCGTAGAAAAGTCTCAATGGAGCACTCTGTGGCTGGGTTTTTTTTTCGGCTTCGCCTCCCTCCCCGTCAACTCGGTATACCTACACTTTCATGAATTCCGCTTCCCACTCCAATCGTTTTCCAAGTTGGCCTTGGCCTCATCCCGAAGAATGCCTATCTCTGTTTGACTCTTCCAAGTTGCCTCGTTGTGTAAGAGTGGCCGTTTTCCGTTTCTCTTTCATCTTACAAGACATTACATTACGGTGTACTCCGCCACACCGCTTGGTCTCGTCGGTATGGGAAAACTTGACCGAAGCTCACTTGTCTACCAATGCTACGCAGACCGGAACAGCCCTGTCTTACAGACTGAGGACTCTCTCCCTTTATGGAATGTACCTTGGCTGTTGTCGAAGTCGGTCTGACAACGTTTCACAGTACCTGTCACCCAGTCACCGGATGAAGGCGCCTCGAGTCAAGATGTCATCGAGTGACCATTACTGGCTTTGAAGGGCATGTTCTCAGGCGGATCTTGACATATCATACTTGCAGCAACGCCCGGTTGACCGCAGAGTGCTGCGCAGAGAGTTTCTCTTTTACATGACGTCGAATTACGACACGAGAGGGCCGCCACTCTGACGTACCATTACGAGGCACACTACGACAAGCACGAAGAGTTTCGTTTTCCGAAGTCCAATTTGCAGTTGCAATCCTATTGCTGGGCCGATCATGGCATATGATCGCTCTAGTTCTCAGGCGTCTATGTACATGGTATTGCATTGCCCCCGTCGTGCCCATAAACCACCCATGCCAATACCCGGTCTCTCCCATGCCTTACCACCACGTCTCCTACAGCTAAAAGACATCCACGCAGACACTCGTGTCCAAGACAAATCACGCCCGCTCAGTGATCAACACGCTGGCGGACTATTTCGACCGTGCAATTGCCGCAGTATTGGTGTCCGCAGCCGGGGTTGGTACAGAACACGACAATCTCAGGGTTGTATGGTCCTTGTCTACAGTGGTCCTGGAAGCAGAGGCGTGTTAGTCGGAGCATGTCGTGGACGACCCAAGATGAGCAGGGATGGTGCTGTCACTTACACAGTACCAGACCTGGAACTCGATATACTGCTTCTTGCTGCTAGAACTGCTGCCGTGGGACTTTCCGCCGCCGCGGCCCTTGGAGCCTGAGCTCTTGTGGTGAGCCATTGTTGATGCTGATATTTGATGTGGCTGAAAGAGATGACTGAAAGTCTGAGAGTGATGGAGCGGTGGTATTGGTAGTGCTTGATGAAGTTTCTGACAACCGATGCTGGTATCGAGGGAATCACTTGAAGCTTTGTGAGTGCAAGCAGCTTCTTTTATGTCCTCGGATTCGGTCCTCTTCCTCAACGAAGCATTTGTAAATCCTCACATCCTTACATCCTCAATATCAAAATGCGCGCAGTTGCGCAGCTAGCTTCCTCTGTATTTCCTTGAATCAAGAGTCACAAATCGCAGATGAGCAAGTAACAATCCTCGATTTTCCTCTTCCTCAACCATTTTCCTCCGAGGCTTGGCTTCTTGCGCCACCTCCCCGGTGACAATTACATGTTCTCCTCTTCCTCAATACCAATCGTTCCCAAGGTGGGCCTCGCGCGCCTCTTTTTTCCTCACGTATTTTCCTCATATCTCCTCCCGGTGTTTCAATCAACGTATTACAATGGGGACCGATTTCTCGCAAAGTCAAAGTTGGCCCCATGGTCTCATAAAAAGAAAGAACCGTTCGGTAAATGGAGGTGTCGCCGCCAGTCTTTTTGCTTTACACTCGGTGACCCGGGGGTGTACGATTATTCTTGGCCTCCCCTGTGGCGTCACTGCCGCCTCCGACGTCGCCCTTCCCGGGTTCCCGGTTGAAAAGGCACCTTTCATCTCAAGGGCGGTGGGAACGTTGTGTATGTTGTGCATCATGGCCTGCATGGCGGACCACCACCACCACGACCTCTCTCCCGAGGCCGCGGGGTGGGAGACCCCAAGGTATGCGCGAGGCACAACGTTCGCCACGAGGCACCCTGGCGCCATACCCCAACGTAGTATCTTACCCCTACCCAGGGACTTTTTTGCATTTTCATAAGAGAGCCTAACTTGATCCCATCACCCCTTCTCCTCTAAAGTCGTCCGCGCACGAAGCGAGGCAGCAAGTACCGAGACACGGCCGCGGCATCTCAGAGACACACCCCCCCCCCCCTATCCCGCCTTTCAACCAACGCCCTTTGCTTACTCGTAAAGCTCACAGCCCCGAAGCCTTGGTAGCCAATAAAGATGACGGGGCTTTTCATGGGTCTCCCTGAACCGCACTCTGGGCCGCATGCAGGTCCTTTCATGTGATTTCCAAGGTTCCGCGAATCCTACTGTGAGGTTGATGTGACGACGGGCCTCGACGAGGCCCCATTACATGTTCCCCCAAACTGAGGAACGAATCATGTCCTTTGAATTGAAAGCTTTCAGGGCATTGGCTACTTTACGAGACTGCCTTGAGGTGGGCCTCGAGGTGTTTGTGGTGGCTCATCGGACGGACCATGCTCGGATTGGTGTTCTAATAGGAGGTCATGAGGTATGCATACATCACAATGTCTAAAGGGAGATGGAAAGACCTTTTGGCATTGGAGCTCTATTGGCACGATGAATAGGTAGGCGGAATTTTGGCTTCCTTCCCGAGGGTGCCTTGAGTGAGTGGCTTTTCAAGTTCTCGGGCAAATGACGTGATATTACTCGTCACTGTTCTGAGAGAATTGCGCCAACGTATGATGAACAATTTCAACAGCTACATGGCTCGCTGGATGTAGGCAATCAAGTGACATGTGACATATCCATGTGAAGCTCGGAAGAGACCGGTCGTAGTTGAATAGAAACGTTGCCCGGTACTCGGAAGGGCACCGCGTTGGCTTACATCGGGCCTATAGTCTAGTCTCATCCACGGATGTGACATTTCCAGTACCCGAGTTACGAATTACCGTAAGCAAACAAGGCATCCAAGTTGCTCTGTCTTTTCATTACCTGAAGCTTAAAGGAATTGTTCTTGACTGCGGCCTGTGACTGCAATGCAGTTTCTGTGGAGTCGGGCTTCGCCACACTTGATCAACTTACACTCCAATCGGTATTGTCCACTGCCTATTTGGCATTTAACCCCATGAATTCACGGCATTGCATGGTTCGAAAGAGATTCTAGACTTTCAAAAGGCTGAGTAACGTTGCAAAAACGAAAACAGAGATGAGTCCATTGAGGAGAATATGTCGTGAGACTTTCTAGTCTAGTATCTAGTAAATGACTTGCGTCCTAGACCCCTCTAATACACAGAGAAACATCCAATGAAAAGACAGTAGTGAGCGAGGAAGCTGTATGTCGTACCCAGTCGGTATCCTAAACAAAAGAGATAAAGCCCAATCAAACAGTCGATCCGGCCTAGGCCCCCTAGCAGGTCGCATGCCTGTATTGTGAGTCAGGTGAGAGCGACTAAAAAGGACACAGCAGTAGATCCAGCCAATGAAAGACAAAGGAAATCTAAGTAAGTGGGAGCGAATCGACAACTTCAGACTAAACTTCATCCACCCTCAAACACAACTCCGAGTGGGCGGAACGGTTTACACCACCCCGGGAAATACTCCTGTTGCTCCCCGCATCGTGCATTGTGCTTGACCAAGGGGGTTCAAAGTAAAGTACTTTCGAATGATTGTGTGTGCCGTGGGTAAGTTGGTGGAATTTGCCGCTGCTGCTGCTGCTGCTGCGCTGGCGTGGAGAAAGAACAAAGCATCATTGAAGGCGACTATCGTACTCTGCGAGTCTGAACTTGGCAATAGGTGCAACGTCTGGTTTGGCATGATGGGCAGTAGTCGATTTTCGTGGTCATTCCAGAGTCACCGCACTGGCACTGCTCAATGTCAATCATTGCGTGGGAGAAGTGATGATGGATTAATTTTGACTTACACACGTCCAGACCTCGACGTAAGTCTTAGATCCCATTGTGATGGGTTGAGTGATCGCGCGAAGAGATTGGAGAAAAAAGTAGGAGATTTCTAGAAAGCTCGGAGAGAAGAGTAGTAGATTCTTAGATGAGTATATCTAGCAGATGCTTAAGAGGAAGTTGAAGGCGTTGATGGTGTGATGAGACGACACTTGTATCTCAGGAATCAATCCATCTCTTTATACTTCCAAAACCTCAAAATCAAGTCCCACGTCCCCTCGAGCGTATCGTCCGCAGAGTCCCACTGACATTACAATCGACGGCTGTGTCGAGAAAGCCTGGCCAAGGCAATGGAATTGTTGACCAACGAGGTTTCAAGCCACCGTACAAAAGTCACTAGACATTTCTTCACGGGAAGCCTTAATCGGTGACAGGGCCGACGTGAATGAGTCGTCTTGGTGGAGACTCCTGTCGTCGAGCTGGTGCCCATCGTGGCTGTTCCAGAAGGCATCCTGCTTGCCTCGGCGAAAGTTGGCGCAGTGACGAGTTCACACTCCATAACGCGACGTCGAAGACCACAACTGCGCCTGCCTATCATGACACCTCCAGACGATTGGTATGTAACGTCTGCCCTAGTAGGTCCCGTACAGGTGTTTCGATATCCAGAGCGGTGATTCGAGGCGATGCTACGGTATGTCCCAGTGCAGGCAGATAGGAACACCTACGGTGGGTGATCTGGAACAAAATTAGCCCAGACATTATTCAAGGAAATATCCACCAGTGATGAGGGGAAGAGGAGAATATGACTCCTTGTGTCTTGCGCCGAAAGTACGAAGGGCGGCAAAAGGACGCCATGGGCCAGCATACGACGTGGGAAGCCATCCAAATTCCCAAAACGAAGCGAGCTTGCGGCTCTCGGAGGAGGCTCTGCTGTTGCGGCTCTGCGGCTTTTGTCGGTACTTTTGAAGGAGTTAGTTGACAAGGATAGACTCGAGGACTGCCCTGAGCATGTGTGTTCCACAAGGGCAAGGGGAACGTTGCCCTGATGCCGCGATCCTCACCGACAATCAGGCAGCCACCTTCCCCTACCTGAAACTGAAGGCTGATTTCTAAAGGGAGCAGAGCCGCATCCGTATGCCCAAGATGGACCTTGGGCTTGCTCGACTCAATCCGGTTTCGATTTGGCCTCGAAGTTGGGATAGAGTCATGCCTGCGTTCCAGTTGTAGCTATACTTCATCGACCCAGGCATCGGATGCAGCCTTAACTCCCACAGGTGCGCGTGCGTGTTGCGTATGCGGTGTGTATGCCGCCAAGACGAGAATGACAACCGGTACTTGGGGTAATCAAGGGAGAATTGTTTGCCGGACCTCGCCAATTTCCGATGTGAGGTGAGATGCGAACCGCCGGTAGGCAGCAGTCTTGTGAAGAGGGAACAGAGAAGGCGTCGGATTGTGTTCTGGAGCGAGGTGGGAGTGAGGGGGAAATCGACATGCATGAATTGCGTAAGCATGCGGAGGTCTTGTCGATATGCAGGCTCCATGCTCGGTTCATTGAGATAACATGTGTCACGTGATTCTCTTTGATATCTGCCGTTGTTCGAGGTCGTTTGGTAGAAGAACGAGTGTAAGCTGAAGAGAAACTTCGAATAGTTTCGGAAGCTAGGTTCAAGTAATTGTCCGCCGGGAATATACTTCTGAGTTGGTCATTGTTTGAAGTTGAGTTGGCAATAGGTGAAGGTAAAGTTGATAGAAACGAACGTATGAACAAAAGGTTGTACAGCAGCGAATTAGGACTACTGTTGTCAGATGAGAGATAACAAAATAGAGATATAGAAAGACCTTGACCTATCAGCCGAGTGTACTACACTCAATAAAACTTACACAGCGTTGTCGTTGTATGGATAGCGTCGGCGGGAAACATGCAGCATCCTATCCGTGCCTTTCATTCGCCGGGATTACTCGTCTGTCCTCCGACTGGCGCGATCAAATCGTGGGAAACGAAACATCTAAGATGTATTCAAGTCGAATCGTGCCATTGAGGGTGTCCATATATTCATGAGTGCGGTGTAGGTGATCATCCATTCATTGTTGCAGCAGCTGTCAAGAAATTTATGCCAGCGACGACAGAGAAAGGACAGAGGTGAAGAAAGGGGGTAGTCGAGCTTCTTATACTTATGGCTATGCGGCTCTTTGAAGCGACTGGCCACACGAATGCGACGACATCTTGTGATCCTCAGGCTGATATCTATGGTCCTGGTAGCCAACACCTAGGCAGAGCCACACCTTCATCAACTCTCCTGGACAGGTCATGCGTCTGTGAGGAGTTATTGACCCATGTGCCGTACACAGCCTGATGATCTGACCGACCATCACCTTGGAAGTCGGTGGAAGAGATGCACAATCTTCAAGGCAGGCCTGAGTGTAGCAAGCTGTTAGACCAAAGTAGGAATAGGCGATATATGACAGACAGGCTGAGTGAATAAGAAGATGCCGAGTGCATGATCCTTGACATCTTGCTTTGAGGCTCAGTGCTGGATACCCATCAGGCACAAGTAACCCAAGCTAGTCCCCTCAGCGGCGTGATAGAGGGATGCTCCCAGTATAGTCGTAAGATCTTGATGGCCTGATCATCCAGGATATAGATCACCTTAAGTTGGAAAGCAATTAGATAGTACTGGGCTGTTGAGTTGAAAGTGCAAGAGCCTGCTTGCTTTCGTGTTACTTTTGAATGAAAGTGTTTTGTAATTGTTCTCTGGAAATGACTCTCATCGGTGTGTGTTATTTGCAGTTTGCCTGCCCCTCAGTAGGTGGTGGCCTTGAAGATGAGGTGGTCAACTGAGCTCACGCTTATCATCAAGGTCTAAACGATAGAACCAAAAAGAGTTCACTCCCCCGGTGCTGAACTGGGGGCTACATCATTTGGTGCTCATACTGGGAAATTCGAACTCGAACTTGTAGCCTGTCGTCGAGTAGGCTGTGGGCACGATTGATTATGGACCTTAGACCACTCCATCACCCAGCCAGTTTGACCTGACCCGTCGACCTAGACGGGCGTCTGCTGGCTGGTGACAGGACTGGACTTGGAGGGGTATATGAGGGCTTTCCCGCTGTTCCTGGGCTTATTCCATCCGGGTTGCGTGGGCTGATATATATTCTAGAAAGTCATCGTCACCGGGCGTAGCAGCCTAGTATGTCGGGCGTCAAGGGTGTAGCATTTTCCTCCACCCACGCGCGGCTGAAGATCCGATCGCTTGGACGCGAGTATCTGTAAACACTGCAAGGGGAGGGGAAGGCATGTAGTTATAACTTGAACCGCGTCAAGGGCCTCTTTTGGCCACCGAAGCTGAAACCTATAGCTCTTGATGGTTACCAATGAACCGTCAGCTGATGAATGAAGTCAGCTGAAAACATCGACAAGCCACGTTACCGCGTAATGCCTCACGAATCAAATAGAAACCTGTCTCGTTTCTTGATACGCGATTTGAATCATTCATTGGAACTTGGCAGACAGACGTGTTGTCGTGGGATGAATCAGCATGCCCACTCATCTGGGGGATTCTTCATGTTCGTTGGACCAGAGTGAGACAAATGAAGGCGCAGTACCTAGGTAGCGATCAGAGATTGGATATCGAACGAACCACGCATTGCGGATTGCCTGGTGAATTTTCCGCGGGAACTTCTCCTCGGGGAACGAAAGGGCAGTGTCTCGCGGCTGAGAGTTGCGTGTCGTCAATTGGATGTTTTGGGATATGGCAGATCGGCATGATCCAGTAGAGAGAGAACATGGTGAAGGGGAAATCGCATGTAGAGTGACGCCACGCAGGTGCGGTTGTAGGGCTGAAAGTCACTGTTCTCGTTATTGATCCACTTCAGCACAAGGGAGCCATTGTTCTACGCATGTTCTGCAGCGTAAGGTACCTATTGCTACCGCCCCTGTCTTCCCTGTACCCGCTATCCTTCAGCCCTGTGTAAATTGACAGTACCTTACCTAGAAGTGAGGTACCTAGCAGTAAGGTACAACGAGATTGACACTGCATCCCATGCACGCACCTCCGAGCGCCCAGAACTTGTCCGTCGCCCCGGCACCAATTTCCGGAAAGCACGACAACCATCTCCAATCCTGCGCATTTGCGTATTGTCGCATCGTCTGCGCAGCTCTACAGCTCGCAGCTGGTCGCTCGCAACTTCCACGCTCTCTTTTGGTCGCCGACTTATTTAATTTGTCCTCTTTCTTGTTTCCATGTGCCGGAAATGATTGCGCCGTTGCAATGTCCCAAGCCACCAGCACGAAATGTGCCTCGCGATGGGTGACGCGCATCATCCCCCTCATCATCACTGGCACAAGCGGCTATGCTACCTACGTGGTCGTGGCCTTTCTAGGCGGTGAGCTGTTCTCGTTCACATGGCTTCTTTTCTCTGCTAATCTTTCGCTGTAGTCGACTACCTGTATAGAACCAGGGGTGAGCATGGCGCCGCCATTTCGACAATCACCCTCTACCTCTTCTTCTACCTCCTTACGATCGCCGCCTATCTACGAACGTTCCTAAAAATCAAAGCGGACCCTGGCTTGGTACCGCTCGGCCCACAGGCACAACAAGCATCAAGAGAATCGAACAAAAAGAGCAGGCGCAGAAAGGAAGGAGACTTGGAAAGTCAGCCTTACTTCACAGGCCCCGATCAGGACCCGGACAGCCCCGGCTTGGAAGGATTCTATAGCAAGGACGTATTTGCATGCGAGAGTGACGGACGGCCAAAATGGTGCTCAGAGTGCCGCAATTGGAAGCCCGATAGAGCTCATCATTCGAGCGAGGTTGAGCGATGCGTACGAAAGATGGATCACTATTGCCCCTGGGTCGGCGGCATGGTGTCGGAGACCTGTGAGTTGATACCGTTCATGGCACGGGTCCAATACTGACAGGAAACAGCATTTAAGTTCTTTGCCCAGTTCACTTTCTACTGCACTTGTTATTGCGCAGTTGCGCTGGGCCAGACAGCCTACTGTCTAGCTTTACAGGTGCGCGATGGGACTGTGGACGGGAGAACGATCTCAGGCGTCGCCATCGCAGGTTTCTTTGGACTTTTTACATTCCTCATGACTGCGACTTCTTGGCGGTTCATTTTACTTAATATCACCAACATCGACGCCCTTCGAAAGTCCTGGGTCCATCAGCTCGCAATCAGGGTACCAAACGATACCCGGCCCGGAAATAGCTACGGCTTGGTCACATATCCTCTACCAAAGTATCCACAAGGGATACCTACCTCCTCGGACGCCACCATCGATAGCGAAACTCCCCGCGATAGACTAGCTACGCGCACCTTTGCCATTGTCAGGACCGAACCAGACGAAAACCCGTGGGATCTCGGGTACGCTAGAAACTGGACGTCCATTATGGGGTATTCCTTGATCGACTGGCTTTTGCCCATACGCGGGTCACCATGCGCCAATCATGACAGCATGGAGAGTGACTACGAGATGGGCCCGTTTATACAAACGCTCAGAGAACGGCACGGTCTACCTGGCCCAAGTGGTTCATCTGGCGGAATGGAGATGCAGGAGCTGAGAGATAGCAATCGTTGACCGAGGCCTGAGCATATCGAGCGGCCTTGGCACATTTAGGCGTTAAAGGGGGTTGGGCAATTCAGGGGGGCGGCGTTCTATTTTGGTTTATATGCCAATATTCACACACCTACACACATACGTAACTAACGTTAAGCCTTCTTATGTAGTAATTAATTCAGTATATGGAAACTCGGGCAGATCAGCTCCAGCTTACACGCGTTGCCGGGATGTCTTACACCACAGCCTTCTGATGTGCCCAACTGTACGGCCAGATTCAATAGGAATATCCGGACGACTGGCGCTCCAGCAGCCACCTTATAGACTTATTCTGGGCGTGTTCAACGTTCACGCGGACCGGCCGACCTAGGAGATCCACCGGGCCGAAGAAGCGTTCACCGAACGGCGGCAGAAAGGGTGGGGCCGATCTGATGTCTCGTAGCTGCCCTATGTTCAAGGCATTATGGACTTGTTCGACAGCTTCTTCTGTCACATACGACCATACCCATTGGAAAACTCGGGATCCCGTCCGCTCTCCCATAGATAAGCCAATGAGGGCCGGATTAGTAGTTGGGTCGGTGACGACCAGCGAATACCTGGTGTTGTATGTTTTTGACGTTTTTTGGTGAAGATATCGTGATTGTGGTGGGTGACGATGTTGCGATATCCTCCATGTCATCGGTTGGGGTTGGTTGGCGGTAGCTCTTGACTTTGTGGCACGGGCGCCATACAGCTCTTTGGTGCCCCTGTGACCCTTCTTTGGGTGTCCGTTCAATATATTCTTGGCTGTACTTGAATCGATCGTAGAAGACTCTACGAGTGGAGTAAGGGTGCAATGAGAGGAGAGATCTTCACACTCATAGACTACTTTCGTGTTGTAGACGGACTTCTTAGTACAAAAGCAGGCCATTTCCTCTTCGTTTATCATGGCACGTCGGTGCCGAACTACCGATCCCAAACTCCAAACTCCAGCCTCCTTGCCAATCGTGAAATCCTCCATGCCGTAGCAGTTGCTGTGATCCTGCATCAAATTGAACCTTCGTATACCTAATATCCTAAGCCAGACACGTGGAAAGCGGAACTTCAATCCGGGTCTGAACAGTCGTCACACTTTGTGTGATTACAAGGCGTTGCGTTGCACTTCATATTGTCGTTCTCATCCGTTCCGCATAGCTCGCTGTTGTTGTTCTCGCTGCACTCGCAGCACTTCCAAGACCCTTCGGGCATGGACTTTGTGCTGTTGGGAGGGAGCTCCGACGTGTCGGAGTCGTTCCCATCGTCGGACCTAGGAGAGTGCTGGTTAGTTTATGATTCAGAGAGAAGGAAACCTAGTTCGCTGACTTACATATCGTATGATTCGAGTCTGAAAGATCTGAGAGGCACGGAGACAGACTTCAAGATAGATTGAGAGATTGACTGTGATTCAGGTCGAGCAGGTCGAGTTTGGTGAGAAACAGATTCAAAAGAGCGTGTATCATTCGATACAGCTTGATATGGAGTAGTGATGTAAGTTATCTAGGTCTAAGAAGGTGATAAAGATGAGATAGACAGAAATACTAATTTGCTTCGGTATATTCTTTGAACTATAGCAAGAGGTCTCTAGTCTCATTATATATGTGATCAATTTCTACCATGTTCAGATGACACTGAAGGCGGACGTATGCCTTCCGCATCTTCAGGACGAGCACTCCAGTCTCAGATCAGAGAATCGGTTTAGATCGCTTTGCGCAGGTCTACCCCATGGCCGAGCTCCCTCGGACGTGGCTCAAAATGGCAATGATACATTCTTCCCGAACGAAACGTTCCTAGAAGAAGGTGTTCTTGGCCCCCGCTCGTGGTTCCAGCGTCCGATGGGTGTGCTGGATCTTGCGTCAGTCGTTCTATCTCGACCAGTACAGCATAGGGCTCCGAGACCAACCCCCACCCGCAATGCCAGGAGAAGCCATCTCAGCTCCGGAGAGGTTTCCAAAAAAGGACCTGAGAGGAAAAAAAAGCGGTTCCTGACTGGTTGTCTCAAAGGTCAACATTGGAATCAACATTCTTGGGCTGACGCCGGTGATGCGGTTACGCCTGCTCTGCTACCCGCCGCATGTCTCGAGAGCCGCAGCGGGATGACCGAGCTCTTCAACTAGTAACATGGGGGCGAATCCTGCAGGCGGTGGGATAGGAGTGGGCCGTGTTAGGTGAATTTCTCGACTTCATCGCCGGCACTTGGGTTTGGCAACCAGTCAGCTACTATGCCGCGATACCGCGGGACGGAGACGAGACCGGGAGCCGACCCCAAAGATGACCATAGGGCCGTGGCCGTGGCTTACCTGTAAGGATAAGGCAATGCGGGACAAGGCAACGCTAACAATAGGGCAGCCTTATGGCTCACCTTGAAGCTTATAGTTCAACAGAGGTAATCCTGCTGTTGTGTATGGTCGAGTACCGCAGACACCTCGGCCTGCTTCCGTGCAGCTTTCGATTTCCTTCACCACTCCCCTCTGCCGAAATATAGTGAGGGGTTTCCCATGTACGTCGCGCGCTTAACCCGGGGGTCCGTCATGATCGAGATCCAGGCCATCCATCTCGTAAACGTAGGGCTGAAGCGGGGTCGATATGTTGACTTCGGGATACTACTATTTATTAGCAATAATGACTCGTTCTAAGACCCCTCTTAGTCCAAACGGACTAGCTTTGCGAAGGGACGGCGCCTTGTTCGAACCCCAGACAAGCCACTCCGTGAATTTTGCAGTGAATAGAGATTCCCACATTCCAGCCGAACGGTGGACCGCACAAGGTGGGTTTCAGGGTGACTGGATGCCTGATAGTTTATACCAGCAAGACCCTCCGAAAGAAGCCTTATGTCATATCGTCGACTTCTGTGCAACCGAGCCTCCTACGAAGGGCGGTGGTCAACGGAATCACGGGAACCCAGGTTTGACACGAGAAACCCCCGATCCGAACCACCAAGTGAGTGGATGCCTAGCTGCATCGCATGAAGCATAGTAATCGTCATAGCATTACGTGAAGCGTGGGGTTACATATGGAAGCGGATTTGTGTCTTATCCTCCGTTACTTGTGGTGGGATGCCGTGCCTCGTGGTCGGCGGCAGCGAGGCTTTGCGGCCGGCGCAGTGTCATGACCAGTCCCCATGTGCGAGGAGATATGTAGCCTGTTCTTCATTTTTCTCTTCTCTTCAGATTGGTCAATTAAACGCTAACGCTAGGGCAGTAGACGCGGCATGCAGTCTGAGAACCGGAGGACGAGTGTTGATCTCCGTGATCTGCCAGGTTAGTGAGAAGGTAGAACGTCTTGATGAGGTAGGTATGTCATGAAGCTTAGTATAATCAGAGGTGAAGTGGGGAAATTAGATTGGATAGACTGACTCTGGATTCTGTACCACCTGCTTCTTTGGATAAACAATGTGCGAAATAGTGACTCGCAGCCTGCTGCTGATATCATTGGGGTCGGTTATAGAACGATGTAGACGCAGCAGGCTCGCTGGACTCTTCAACTCAGACCATCTGGTGACGGTAGACCAGAAACAAAATATTTTCGGCTTGGAGGCTGAGACAGAGCATTGAAGGTACAAGAGACCATGATCCACTCAGTGATCCAGCTCGAGGTATTTGGGATGCTTTAAAGCTCGGCACGCGGCGTGCTTTAATTATGATCTTGCAGTCTCGTGTTGCCTTTACGGCTGTTGCCTGATGGGCGCCTTTCTCATAGACTTATGAGGCGCTGGAAAGGCGCGCAATGTACGGAGCACTAGAGCTAGGAATGTCTTGAAACGTATTTCTTGGCACGGCCGAGGCTGCGTCTTCCAAGAGCTGACATACGACACACCATCATGAAGGTTGCAGCTGTGTGACCGCACCGCTCAGGACTAGTTCAAACGTTGAGAGAGGGCGAGGATTATGTTCACACGTGAAGAATTGAATCGGCGTGTCCGAATTATAAGCTAGATATAGGGTAATGACGAAGAAGGATGCAGAGACGATCCTGATAGGGAACCAGCCAAGATGCAGATTTTGCACGAGCCTGATGAGACTTGATAGCGGCTTAAATAAGCGGACGAATGATGCAGCATCGCGGCGTAGCAATTTCCTCAATGGCGAATCGCGAGAGGATGAAGTAGGAGTATTAAGAGCACCCAATGAGTTCGTGCAAGATGGACTGTTGTCCTCAAGGGACTCAACGACGAAGAAAGCAGAGTAATGGCATGTTGATGAAACCAAGTGGTATGCAGCCTCATGTCATCGGACGATGAGATTGAGATGTAATGAAGCCTTCCCTCTCTAAAGTAGATGGAGCTGATGTCGTTGCAGGAGGTTGAAGGATGAGCGCTGCGAGCCCGGACGTCTGCGGGTCATCGTTGGCTAAAGGTGGATCCCTAAAGTGCCGCTGACCAATCGAATTCTCGGCAAAACCTGACCTGTTGCAAGTGTACGTACCTAGCTTCGACAGACACTAAATGGCAGGCGCGTTTGCAGGCGCGTTTACCTCAACGACCTGCTAATCTCTGCGTATAAGAATTATCCGTGCAACAACACATCAACCATCTCATCGATTCCAGACAAACGGCTGCACTGGGCCTTTGTGTTGTTGGAAAACGAGGGATTAATCGAAAGTAGACGAGAAGGAGAATTCTGTTTATCTACTTTGCTGTCAACGACGTCCGGTCCATGTCGACCCAAGAAATACGCCGTTGAGAATCCGGCAAGCGAGCAGGGGGCCTCACGACGCCTACCGACGGCGACTCGGCGGCACCCAACCGACGTGATATCATGTCGTCCTCACAGCCCTTCCGGGAATCTTCCCCTATCCCCGGCATCGGCAGACGCAAATCTCAGTTCACCTTCAAACAACTGTCCCAACTAGCGACTTACAATACATCGTGCCCCTTACGAGTTGTAGCCCACATTGACCTAGATGCTTTCTATGCACAATGCGAGATGGTTCGTTTGGGCGTGCCTAAGGACCAGCCTTTGGCTGTCCAGCAATGGTACGTGGCCCTTCCGTCTGATCATTCTGTCAACTAACAACCCTAAGGCAAGGATTAATTGCTGTCAATTATCCAGCACGTGAGCACGGCATCGGTCGTCATTGCACTTTGACAGATGCGAAGAAGCTATGCCCTACATTAGTTGCCCAGCATGTAGCAACTTGGCGAGAAGGCGACGACAGGTGGGCATACCGTGATGATGCTGCTGCCAACATCCAGAGCGACAAAGTCTCTCTCGATCCGTACCGCCTTCAGTGCAGAAAGATTCTGGCAGTCATCAAGGAAAGTTTGCCTGCGGATCAGCAAAAGGTTGAAAAGGCCAGCATTGACGAGGTTTTTCTTGACCTCTCCGCACATGTCCATGCAGTTCTCCTGGAACGCTTCCCCGAGCTGAGAAACCCACCACCTTACGACGATCCGACGGAGAATCTTCCAGCCCCGTCCGTGGCAGCCCTGGATTGGCAAGCGGATGCTCTCATCGACCTGAATGAGGAGGAGGAGTCCGTGGACCCAGACTGGGACGACGTGGCGATCCTTATTGGGTCTGAGATTGTCCGCGATGTCCGAAGACAGATCCTGGAGAAGTTACACTACACATGCTCCGGAGGTATTGCCAAAAATAAGCTGTTGAGCAAGTTGGGCTCCGGGCACAAGAAGCCCAACCAGCAGACCGTCATTCGAAACCGAGCCGTGGCCCAATTTCTGTCAGGCTTCAAGTTCACCAAGATACGCAATCTCGGGGGGAAGCTTGGCGAAAACGTGGTCTCAACCTTCAACACTGACGCCGTCGAAGAGCTATTGGCCATCCCTCTGGATCAGATGAAAGCAAAGCTAGGTCAGGACACCGGAAGCTGGGTTTTCAATACCATTCGTGGCATCGACGCTAGTGATGTCAACTCCCGCACACAAATCAAGTCGATGCTATCGGCAAAATCGTTTCGGCCCTACATCAACACCCCGGAACAAGCCCATCGCTGGCTGAGGATCTTTGCTGCCGACATCTTCGCCCGCTTGGTTGAAGAGGGAGTTTTGGAGAATAGGCGTAGGCCGAGGACAATAAACTTGCATCACCGACATGGCGGCCAAATGAAATCGCGCCAAGGCCCAATTCCCCAGGGCAAAGCACTAGATGAGCAAGCCTTATTCGAACTTGCGAAGAACCTCTTGAACCAAATAATAGGGGAAGGCAACGTCTGGCCATGCGCCAACCTCAGCTTAAGCGTGGGCGGCTTCGAAGACGGCATCACAGGCAACATGGGCATCGGCGCTTTCTTGCTGAAAGGAGAGGAAGCCCAGGCGCTAAGGCAGAGTAGCCGCGAAGCAAGCGATATGCCCATTCCTGAAGAAAAGCCGCCAAAGAAACGTCGGACGGAGGGAGGGGCGATCCATCGCTTCTTTGCACGTAACGTTTCCACTGACGAAGAAATGCCGTCCGACGGTGCATCCGCGAAGAGCGATATCAAATCCCGAGAAGAGACTAAGTCAGGTGAGCCTTCCATGGCTGTTCCAGGTACGAGTCTGGCGCACGAGGAAGGCAATGGTGGCTTCCATGAGGTGCCAACCACGGGCTTCGTATGCTCGCGGTGCAACACGGGGTTTGAAACGCCAGAGGAGCACCAAAGCCACGAGGATTGGCATTTTGCCAAAGATCTACAAGACCAGGAACGTGGCAAGCCCACACTTGCTCAGCACTCATCTGCCACCCGCAGCTCTGGCCCAAAGACTTCAGGAACTTCGGCCAAGCGGGGAGGCCGCGGCGGCAAGCTCGAGCATGGACAGAGCAGACTGAAGTTTGGATGAATCCTGGTGATATGCCCATCTTTGCCAACATCACGCCAAAAGTCTGTCGAGCGGGTCCTGCCGCCTGATACGCAACGAGACTTGGAAGTTGGTAAACTTTGACGCCCTGAGGCCTGGTCCAAGGGTCACCGCAGTACAGGAGATTGACGGCAAAGCCCCCGACGAACCTGAGGAATCATCACTGATGGGCGTTTTCTTTCCAAATTCAAGCTTCACCGAGCGAATTATAAGGCGAGTCTTACACAAGGGTACCCACCGGGCAGGGACGACATGACTTCGGGACCCGGTATGGCTATCCGTTGTTGCCCAGTTGGGCACCCGGTACAGCAATTTGGGAAGCAATCCTGTCTCACAGTAGACTCAGTCGCGGACCTGGGCGTTGCTTCCGGCCTTGCGCCGGGTTACAGTCTATCGGAGGTCGTGGTCATATGAGACATGAGGACGGATCAACTTGGCGAACCACAACGGCCTGACGGGACAGGGACATACATGTGGTTGAGCGTCTCCGCAGGCGCAACCGACGAGTTGGATGGCTACATGTGGATCGAAACTACCCGCAAGTGTCGTCATTCCAATTCCCGCCTGTAGCCTTCCGCGACGCATCCGGATCCTCATGACCCACGGGTTGAACCAATATTGGGAGCGCCAGGGGCAGCAGTGCCAGCGAGCAAGGCTTCGGACACACGATTTACAAAGATGAATACAAAATCTTGAATAAGAAAACGGCATCCAGTACGTTTGTTGTCTGGATGAAGGAGACCGGCGCACATCGGATCCCTGATCGAGGCCGGTTCCGTGATACTGTTGGATCGAGGTTCACGCATCGTTTTGGTTGCGTCTGGATTGACACAATCCGGATGACGTCTGCAAGTGATTGGTTGCTAATTAGGCATCTTTTGGGCCAAGGTGGGTTGGGCCACATTTTTGGCGCGAGGCATTGATACCCAACGTTGCCAACCACCACCTGGCACCGACGCACCGTTACCAACTCCCCGACTAGCAACACTACTCTGTCTCCGTATCCGTACTAACCACACAAATCAGCGTTTGCGGGAAAAAAGCACGCACTCGCCTTGTCTTGATCCGTGGACCATCGCGGACAAAATGGAGACTGGAAAGGAAAAGAGACGGGGCATTCCCGGCAGTCGGAAGCGATAGGCCACCGCTTCACAGCGATGCAATGGGGCCACATCGCCGACCCCGAGTGGGTTCGCAGCAACGGCGAAGTCAATTTTTGATGAGGACACCGCCAGCAACCGCCGGACGATCAAGAGACAGGGCAAGCCAACGGCATGCTGCGCCGTCAAGTCGCGAAATGGCCGGCAGTCGAGGGCAAGGGTCCCAGGAAACGAACGTCCGTCGTCCTACGCTCCACAGCCACGGGGTTCTCATAGAAGTCAGCCGGGGGGGGGGGGGGGGGGGGGGGGATTGCGTGCAAAGGGGGGGGGCCGAGAAAAATGTTTTTTGCGCCGAGAAAAGGGGGGGGGGGGGGGGGGGCGTTGGGGGGGGGGGGGGGGGGGGGGGGCGCGGGGGGGGGGGGGGGGGGGGGGGGGGGGGGGCGGGTGTCATGACTGTCAATGAGGACGTGCATCGAATAAGTAGTTTTTGCGCCCTGAAAAGCGCGCCGGCTGGTCGCCGTCTGAGGCTGGGATATCCCGTCCTGGTAGGGTACCAACAGCTCGGTCAGTCAGACTTGAGGAAATTGAAAGGGACAGAAAGAAAAAAACAAGTCAGAATCCAGGCTTGCATCGTCTAACCATTCTTGCCTTTGGCAAGCTGACATAGGCAAAGAGGTCATCAGGGGCTGGAGAGTTGCTGGGGAATTGCCAAATCAAGTCTGCCAGAAAACGCAACTTTCGACACTGGCTCACACGCTTGGATTCCAAGCGCGCAGACTATACATGCACTTACGGACTGGTTTCTGCATTTAACACTTACCTGTTTCCAGAAGAAATTAGCCTTTGAAGTCCACGAATGTTTCCCAGCTTGTTCAACGGGGATCGACACGGATTGTAATGTCCAAGCGGTCTCCCGTAGCATCCTGCCCGACTTTCCAAAGTTACACAGACACAATAGAGTACACACTTCTTCTTTAGCCTCGGCAAGCAGACTGCCGCTCAAGGAAATGGCCTAGCGGATGTTGGAAAACGCCACTACGCCAAAGTAGTCAAACGTCTTCTCGATACATCCTTGACAAGAACAGCCTAAAACGCCATAGAACGACGGTCTAGAAGGGACTACTCACGAGCCACATCTTCTCCAAACTACTTCATCCCAAGCCGATGAATGCAATTCAGCCTCAGCTACGCCAAATTCTCGAACAAGAATACTTGGGGCGGAAGGTCTGGATCCTTTTCGACCCCCCTATAGGCTATGAGGCAAGCAACAGCACCGGACCTCACGATACCCGGTCCTAGGAGAAGGGTTGGGCTCAATCAAGGGGAATGGCGGATCTCAGACACCCCAAGGACGACCATAGGCCATTGGAATCAATCTACTTTGAGCTGCTGCCAATCTTCTCGCGTTTTCGGCTCAACAGCATCTCCCGCACGCAACTCTCTCGATTGGGCCTCGACATGCCGTGTCGCATTGGATGAGTTTCGACTTTCTAAGGGGCGGAGGCAGGAACAAATAATACGCGCACCATTGAGCCGACCCCCCCGGTGCAGCGAAATTCGAGCCTGCTGTAACATGGAGGACAAACCTTCGCATTGGATCTCACAACAGCTCGCCATCATGCCGTCTGTCTCATCTCTACCCTTTTGGGGCTTGACACGACATTATACCACGTATAAGGACCGCTTGGCTGCTGCATCTTTCTGGCTGGGTTATTGGCCAGCCTGAGAGCATGTACCAAGCTGGCCCGCCTTCATTGCCTTTTGTTCGTCTTACGTGCGTCTGTTTGAACAGCAATGGCGACAAAAGCAGGTAAAGGCAGGCCTCAATATTCCAACGAATACCAACTGAGTGTTTGGATGCGAATTACGAGTACGTGTGCGCCAACAGCCCTCGCATGTTTGCTTCTTCTCACAAGCGCAAATACTGTACTACTGTACCTATCCAGACGTACTCACGCACGTCACCGTGGATGTCTGTTTGATGCGGTCCTAGTCATCGGGGCCACCCAAGTGGTGGTCGTGGTGCGCGCTAAAACGGAGCATCGAAAGCCCCCGGACGGGACGTTTCCTAGGGCTGTCCTGGACTTGGACAGACGTGAGTAAGATTTTGTTGTTCATAGGCAGTGCGCGCACGACGCAGGGAAGTTCCTCGGTAACCCTTTTGGGCAGCGCGATCAGTCAACCCAACCTCCCAACCTCTCTCGAAGCTGCAGGCCTGCACCTCATCCCGTCTCCATCCACTCAGAGCGGCCGCCACCCATTCTTCCCTGCTGCCGCCCAACCGCTCTCCGCCTCTCTATCAATGTCAATCTGTATCCGTACGGAGCATTTGCACCAGGTTTCTGCTTTTCGCGTACCGTCCCGCCAGGTGGCTCTTACCGCCTCTGCTGGCTGGTCAGGTATTCGTTGCGTATCCATCTGTACCGTGCGTACCTTGACTGAGGCTGGGACGTACAGCTTGAGATGTACAATGGGATACCTCTCATCCTCCCGCCGTCCGTCTTCCTCTCGGGAACTAGGCGGCGCAAGCTGGGCTAAGCAGGCTATCATCGCTTGGCCAGCAAGAGGCTAGACTTGGGCCACACCATAGGTAGACGCAACACAACCCACCCCGATGCCCCCCCTCCTCGTGCACTAAGGGGATCCAGTGGCATATTGGCCAGGTTGCCAGGGTTTGGGTAGAGCGCGAGGGAAAATCCGCACGGGACTGTCAGTCAGCAACGTGGTGCCAGCAAGCCCTGTGGTTTCCTTGCCTGGTCGGTCCCGAGCAGGTTCGACTTAACAGAAGGAGGAGGAGAGTAAGGCCTCCCATCCTACGTACCTCATCATCTCACGGGGGGTGGAAGAGCAAGATGGAAGGGCAGAGAGGGCAAGCGATTGAGGCAGAGGATGTGTGTGTGGGTGTCGTGTGAGTAAGGTACATAGTGTAGGTAGTCTACGGAGTATAGGCTTAGGTTATTCGAATTGCCTACATGAGGCGGCCTTACCTCACATTCAGGCTGCTGCTACCAACAACAGTGAAATAAGGCAAGGAAAGGTACAAGGGCAGTACTCCATACCAAGTACACCTCGCGCCTCAACGGCTCAGAACCGCAGTGAAAAAGTGAGGTCGAGGGGTATTGGTGACCAGTCATAGGCGGGCCTCACTGACCACACTGACCACACTGGTCACTGGACGCAGAGCCTAGTGGTTGACTGGTCCACGTCGGTGACTTCACTTACCGCTGCCCGCTAGGTCCCGGTTTTTCCTACCAGAAGCCCCCACCCCCAAGAGAAGAGCCAGACTCTGGCCTCTTCCTTTTCTGCGCCCACCACCCACTCCCTGCCCGCTTTTGCCTTCCCGTTCTTCCTCTTTTTCTTCCCGCCATCTCGACAATCCCATTTCTTACTCTCTTCCCCTCCTCTTTCTCTTTTTTCCTCTCCTGCTCTTTCTCTCTCACCTTCACGTTGCCTCGCCTCGCTCGACCCTCTCTCTCGACCGGTTACCCTTCTCCCTCCTCCTACTCAGACCACCCCCGCTTTCAACCGTCAATATGTCGAGATCCTCCCGTGGCCCCCCTCCGGCTTCGTCTGCCCCTCAGAGCGGCCGCTCCAACGAGTACTTCGTTCCGAGAGATGGAATCGATCGCGAGGTCATCACCGCCGATATTTGCCGCTACCTCGGCAACGACGCCCTCGTCCGCCCGGGTCACTACGAGAACCCCCAGACCGGACAAGTCTCACAGGGTTACTACATCACCGCCTACCGAAACCTAACAACAGTGAGTGGCTTTGCTCCACTGTCGTCGCCTTTTGCTCGACCAGTATACTGATACAACGCCTCCGTAGGCCATGATCGACGACTTGAAGGCCGATTCTGCGCGATGGGAGGCAGAGAGGCGGCAGCAGGCCGCCCGGAACAGTTCAGGAGGTACATTTGCCTCAAGAGACGCGACGGCTCTTTTGTCGAGACGTTCTAACTCCCCTACAGCAGGGTACCGCCAGTCGGAGACTCACTCCGCACGCCAACACTATGGTCCCACGGATTCCACTGGCTACCCGGACGTAGGACGTGATTCCTATGAAAGCACCCCTAGATATCCAGGATCTCAAGCCCCAGGTTACTCGGGGAACTCTGCCCAGGGCTACTCTGGATCTACCCCTTCCTATCAACAGCAGCCTTCTTCTTCTTACTCAAGTGGTGGGTATCCCTACTCTGGACAACCAGACCCAAGAGCCGACCCCAGGTACGCTGGACAGAGCCAAATGGGACAAGGATACGGTGAACCCCCGTACATTGCTACGGCCGCGAACATGGCGGCGCAAAGAAACTACCCCGCCGACCCCTACGCAGGACAGCCCTCTCGGACTCCTACTTCGATGGCGCCTCCGCCAGGAGGGCCGGCTTACTCTTCCGGATCACAGGTTCCGGCAGGATATCCCACAGGTTACTACCCGCCTTCGACGTCAGCCTCGTACGGTTCCACGCCGGTGGCTTCTGATCCGATGTACGGACGCGGTGCGTATACAGCTTTGTACCCCAACCCAACTTCTTCGACCGAATCTAATTATGTAGCGTCCCCAGCAGGTGGTGTTGCTCACCCGTCTCTCTCTGGCCAAGGAGGATCACAGTATGATAAGCCCCCTGCACCCCGTGGTTCTGCTCCTCCATCGAGTTCCAAAGCTCAGACGACAAGTAGTGGATCATCGCACTCTCGCCGCAGCGAAAGGGATTCCGACAGGCATCACCAATCCGACCGCCATCGCCCCCCGCGTCGCTAATACGTTACCTTCACTGGAATTTACTGTAGCCACTCCGACTGCACAGGACGCCCGTCCTGTGAGTCGCTGTCATGAACTTGATCCTAATGATCTCGGGTCTTGGACCCGTTTCCCGGTGTCGGCTTCTTTATCATTTGTTTTTCCTGGATAGACCCTTTTCCTGGATTCGAGGTGTGGAAATCACCTTGTGAGTTGCAAGTATGCATCTCGCTCTCTCCGTTGTCTGGCTTTGCTGGCGTTTTGGCTCTGCGCGGCCTCGGAGTTTCCCTGGCTCTACATATCTTCCTGGACCGTTACGTCTCGAGTTCTACTACATCCTGCCCGGATCTCACCTGGACTTGACCTGGATTTCACCAAGAATGGATTGTGCCGCGCATACCCCTGGACGTTTTACGACTGCATATATGGATGGGCTTACGATTTTTGCTATTCGATCAACCTTTTCTTTTCCGCAAGTATGACTTGCTACTACGTGTTTATGGCCCGGAACCCAGGAACGGAAAAGGACGTACTTTCTTGAACCGAGTCGACTTTGACGACTTTTTACACGGACCACTTTGCTGTCTGGAGCCGTCCTGGCGGTGGATGTAATGTCATTTTACTCTCTTCTCCTGGTCTGGGTTTCATTCTTCCTACTTGGACTTTTGGAGTTCGGGGTCATCATGGTGTTTCGTTATAGAATGGGTGGCGACGGCATCTGGACAGCAAGGTGAGTTAACGGATTGCCAATTTTTTTGACCAACTTCGAAAGGATACTCTGCCAACTTCCCCCATGAGGATCTGAGACACTCATGATTGAGAACTCTCATTTACCTAACGTCACAGTCATCCAACCGGACTCGTTGCACCGCAAACTACTCTCCACTGGAAAAACAAAACTGGCCATTTGCAAACCCGGATCTGCTCTTAAGCACTCGCACCGCACCATGGACTTCATTCCATATTTTGGAGATTCCGGATCAAAGCTTCATGGACCAGCCTGTGGAAGTACCACCCATTGGACAGTGGCCGTGGACAAGAAAGGCCTTGACCCCCACAACCGAGACTCCCAAACCCTTTTGGATCTCGAGTTAGCTCACTGAGCTCAATCAAGAAATTTACTGGGAGGAGATACATCTCCAATGTGGGTGAGTTATACATGGCCTGGCCTGCCAGCCATTTCGATACAATGGCCAAGACATTCCATCGATCATGAGTGGCCTTTGCCGGTCAAACACACCTTGGCACCTGACAACATCCGTTGCTTTTTGGATGCATGTTGCGATCATCAATGCAGCCTGCCATGGGACACGAGTCTGGCGGTTCATGGTACCCACTACCCACTGTGACCTGAAGATGAGGCATGGTTGAGGTTCACTAGCGCCAGGCTAGGCACATGGTACAAACGACTCAACCCTACCTTTCTGGACTACTTTCCCTGAACTGCGGCTGCCCAGTCTTGCGGAACACTTCCTGGATCACGTGGAGCCTTCCTGGCAGCTCTTCCGGAACAGCTCGTTAGTCACCGCTATTTCTATTCGTTCTGTGTTTCTATTCGCATCGTGGAACCATATCTATCCAAGCCGGGACATCGAACGTGGGAACTAACACGCTCGTCGCAGGCTTCACAGGGAACAAGCGCACAATGTTGTAGCCAGGATGGATAGCAGTGGCTCAATAGAGCGGACTTGATGTATTGCATATATCGGCGATTGTTTACGTTTGGACCCAGATTTTTTTTGGAAAGTTTTGGAGTTGTGGTAACATCTACCGGATTTATATTATGCGATTTTTGTTGTTGTATTTGGCGTTTGGGCATATGGTAACCAGCGGTTATCGGCTATTGAATGATGACTAAGTTTCTGTAATGAATTGAACGTTTCTGGATTATATCAATGATCACTTATCCCAGCTTGGGCATTTCCTCGTCATTTGTCATCTTGAAGACGCGTCTTGATACTCGGCAGGTCGCATCTGGACAGTCTTGCCCAGCATCACCCTGGTCATGTGAGGTGTCACCCTGTCCACCTACCGTCCCTCGGGTACGGAAGGTTCATCGCCACTGCTGGCGAGTTGTGCACCGCTCGTGTCGACTGCGTGGTATGAAGTTTAAGTTTTTCAGGCAACCAACCCATCCTGTTGGGACAGCTCTGATCTTTCACCATCGGGGAAAAAGGGATTGGGCGGGGGGGCAGGGCAGGGCAGTCAGGAACTATTCATATGCATTCTCAACTTCCTTCGTCTCTCGCCACCTAGCAACAAAAGACAACGAACAGTCCGAAAGGGAAAAAGTTTAATTTGGTGCTCAGCATCCTCTCTCCCCATGGTGTCGAACATGGCCTCACTCTGCCTTTCGTCCACCTAGCACCTACAAGATATTCGTATGCTCCACGCCCCTAAGCCAAACCTCCGTCTCCAGAGAAGTGGTCAGCTACATGATATCAGATATCCGCCATATGTAGACAGAACAAGAGCAACAGCACCCTCATATGACATACAAATTCTTCCCAAATGCCCACAGGAAACCCCAAAGTAATACACCCCAATGCTCATCCCAAGATCTCTCTTCGCAAGTCACCTACCACGTCAACTTCCATCTACTGACTCGAATCCCTCTACCTGGATTGCCCCCCCCCCCCCCCCACCCCCCCCCCCCCCCCCCCCCCCCCCCGCACCCCCCCCCCCCCCCATTGCACCCCCCACACTGCTCTCCCCAGCACCCCCCCCCACCCCCCCCCCCCCTCCCCCCCCCCCCCCCCGGTTGCCCCCCCCCCCCCCCCATTCCCAATCCCAATTTCATCAACAGGGTCGGTCCCCCCATCCCCCAACACC